GTAGGGTAGGGTAGTGTAGGGGTAGGGTAGGGTAGGGTAGGGTAGGGTAGGTTAGGGTAGGGTAGGGTAAGGGTAGGGTAGGGTAGTGTAAGGGTAGGGTAGTGTAGGGTAGGGTAGGGTAGGGTAGGGTAGGGTAGGGTGGGGACTAGGGTAGGGTAGGGTAGGGTAAGGTAGGGTAGGGTAGGGTAGGGTAGGGTAGGGTAGGGTAGGGTAGGGTAAGGTAGTAGGGTAGAGTAGGGTATGGTAGGGTAGGGTAGGGTAGGGTAGTGTAAAGGTAGGGTAGGGTAGGGTAGGGTAGGGGAGGGTAGGGTAGTGTAGGAGTAGGGTAGGGTAGGGTAGGGTAAGTGTAGGGTAGGGTAGGGTAGGGTGGGGTAGGGTAGGGTAGGGTAGGATAGGGTAGGGTAGGGGATTGTAGGGTAGCGTAGGGTAGGGTAGGGTAGGGGTAGGGTAGGGTAGGGTAGGGTAGGGTAGGGGATTGTAGGGTAGGGTAGGGTAGGGTAGGGTAGGGGATTGTAGGGTAGGGTAGGGGATTGTAGGGTAGGGTAGGGTAGGGTAGGGTAGGGTAGTGTAGGTTAGGGAAGGGTAGGGTAGGGTAGTGTAGGGGTAGGGGTAGGGAAGGGTAGTGTAGGGTAGGGTAGGGTAGGGTAGGGTAGGGTATGGTAGGGTAGGGTAGGGTAATGTAGGGTAGTGTAGGGTAGGTTAGGGTAGGGTAGGGTAGTGTAGGGGTAGGGTAGGGTAGGGTAGGGTAGGGTAGGGTAGGGTACTACCATACAAAACACTTGAACACCCCGCACCTATCACCAACCCTTACAGTTTAATTAAAAACAGCTACCCAAATCTATCCAAATAATACATCTTAAAATACAAGTCAATCAACCAAACTAATGCACCCGTAACATAACATAAATCAAAACATACAGTTATCGCGTAAACCTGTACCTCTAGTCTATATTATAAATCCTAAAAAGTCCGCCGCCGTCGGGGTTACTCCCAAAATGGCTTATTACGGCGCCGTCGATTGACGCAGGAGGGTGAAATTTTTGCCAATCGTGGGTCGCGTCATTCAACAGGTCGTATTAAATTTTGGGCACGATGCGGCCGCGGGGGTGCGTCCGTGGCGCGTGCTGACGTGGTGTGCCATAGGGTTTACACTAGAATCGGCAACAGGCTATTGCTCGGGAACAGTAAGGGCTACGGGGGTGAAATTTTCACGCCAAGTCGGTCGCGTGCACTCATTTGTAGTATTAAATTTTCGAGGGTGTGGGTTCAGCGGTGTGCACGTGATGGGGCCGCGACCGGCGCCGAGCAGAAGGCACGTGCTTTAGGCTCAGTTGTTCGCTTGCAAAACTGAGTGAAACGAGTCAGAGCCGGGAGGTCATTGACCTTTGACAACGAAGCCCGACACAAGGCACCGCTCGCCAAGGGGATTCGCCAGTAAATACTATCAATTTGTTTTTGCAATATCTCACCCGTTTCTGGGCCGATTTAGCTGAAACTTGGACTGTCGGTGGTAGTGTAGTGTAGGGTAGGGTAGGGTAGTGCAGGCCGTAGGGTAGGGGTAGGGGTAGGGTAGGGTAGGGTAGGTTAGGGTAGGGTAGGGTAGGATAGGGTAGGGTAGGGTAGGGTAGGATAGGGTAGGGTAGGGTAGGATAGGGTAGGGTAGGGTAGGGTAGGGACTAGGGTACGGTATAGTATGGTAGGTTAGGGTAGTAGGGTAGGGTAGGGTAGGGTAGAGTAGGGTGGGTTAGTAGGTAGGGTAGAGTAGGGTAGGGTAGGGTAGGGTAGAGTAGGGTAGGGTAGTGTAAGGGTAGGGTAGGGTAGGGTAGGGTAGGGGTAGGGTAGGGTAGGGTAGTGTAGGGGTAGGGTAGGGTAGGGTAGGGTAGGGTAGGGTAGGGTAGGGTAGGGTAGGGTAGGGTAGGGTAGGGAAGGGTAGGGAAGGGTAGTGTAAGGGTAGGGTAGGGTAGTGTAAGTATAGGGTAGGGTAGGGTATGGTAGGGTAAGGTAGGGTATGGTAGGGTAGGGTAAGGTAGGGTAGTGTAGGGGTAGGGGTTAGTGGTGCCAATTTCATGAAATTTCAATTCCAATTCCGATCCAATTCCAAGAAATTGCCAAGTAAATTTCCAACTTTGTCCAAAGCGGGCGCTATTCCAATTTTTAACGATTTTTGCATTTTTTGCGTAAATTTTAAAAGTGTTTAAAAGCGTTTTAAAGGCCTCCGTTTTAAAATTTTAAATTTTAAAGGCCTTGTGTTCCGATTAATTTCCAAAAAATGTTAAGAATTCCGTCCAAATTCCAAATTGGAATTGGACAAAAATTGGAATTCCAAGAAAAGAAATTCCGATTGGCACCAATAGTAGGGGTAGGGTAGGGTAGGGTAGGGTAGGGTAGGGTAGGGTAGGGTAGGGTAGGGTAGGGTAGGGTAGGGTAGGGGATTGTAGGGTAGGGTAGGGTAGGGTAGGGGATTGTAGGGTAGGGTAGGGGACTGTAGGGTAGGGTAGGGTAGGGTAGGGGTAGGGTAGGGTAGGGTAGGGTATGGTAGGGGTAGGGTAGGGTAGGGTAGGGTAGGGTAGGGTAGTGTAGGGGTAGGGTAGGGTAGGGTAGGGTAGGGTAGGGTAGGGTAGGGTAGGGTAGGGTAGGGTAGGGTAGGGTAGGGTACGGTAGGGTTGAATCGAGTAACATCCTAACTAACAAAGGGCTCGAACGACTCGCATGCATTACCATCATACTTTACAGTTCAATTAAAAGCAGTTACCCAGTTATACACAAATAATACCAATAAAACGCAAGTTTCTACACCCAAAACTAATGTATCCGTCAATCATACATATCAAAACATACAGTTATCGCGTAAACCTGTACCTCTAGTCTATATTATAAATCCTAAAAAGTCCGCCGCCCACGCCGCCGTCGGGGTTACTCCCTAAAAGGCTTATTACGGCGCCGTCGATTGACGCACGAGGGTGAAATTTTCACGACTCGTGGGTCACGTAATAAAACAGGTCGTATTAAATTTTGGGCACGATGCGGCCGGGGGTGCGCCCATGGCGCGTGCTCATGTGCGCCATAGGGTTAGCATTAGAATCGGCAAAAACAGGCTATTGCTCGGGAACGGTAAGGGCTACGGAGGTGAAATTTTCACGCCAAGTCGAGCCCGTGCATTCATTTGTCGTATTAAATTTTCGACGGTGTGGGTTCAGCGGTGTGCACGTGGTGGGGCCGCGACCGGCGCCGAGCAGAGGGCACGTGCTTTAGGCTCAGTTGTTCGCTTAAAGGTAGTGTGCCAGCTTTCCTGGACCATATGGAGTTAATGACCCGGATAAGGAGAACCGGATTTTTAGAACTTATCCATACCTTCAAAACTTATGGAAACGTCTTAAATTCTTCAAATTTTGAGTACCCCAGTGCGAAATTCGCCCCGACGGGTTGTCGGTCGTACCCCAACCACATTTCACACCACTATGAACAATAAATGCACACACTAAAATCGCTATTACCGATAGGCTCATCCAATCAAGTTTCGATAAACCCGTTCATCATCATCTCCTGCGGTTTCGAACACGCCTGTTAGGTGGCTTCTGATGCTCGTCGAGGTCGGAATTTCCAAATACGCGTGGTGCGTCGGGCCGCGCGCTCTGACTTCGGCCAAGAAAAATGCGTCAGCTGATCATTGTCATTTCTGCCACTTGCGTGTGGTGTAATGGGGTCATAACTTAAGAGACGGCTGTTTCATATCAATTATTTTACATAAAATCATATTTCAAACCACAAATTAATGTTCGACAGCCAAATTTAAGAAACAATACCAATACAGGCTTACAGTTTAAGGCTCGACATTGTGTTGTCTACGATTAGACAGCTGATAACTCATTCCCGTACGTCGTATGGTCGTAACACTATAATGACCTTTGCTTATTGTCACAAGTGCGCCGCATTCGCGATTGTTGCCCGACGCCTGTTTGCAGGTGAGCCCACTATACAGTTGTTATGCATATCTAAAAACCGATAAACTTTTAGGCGAAAAAGGCACTATTCCAGGCCAATTTTTGAATTTTTTGCGATATTAGGTAAAAACAGAAGCTTCTTATCCTAGGAAAAATAAAACGGGAAATCTTTCAAAGGTGGCACACTACCTTTAAAAACTGAGTCAAAAGCATCAGAGCCGGGCGGTCGTTGACCTTTGACAACAAAGGCCGACACAAGGCACCGCTCGCCAGGGGGATTCGCCAGTAAATACAATAAATTTGTTTTTGCAATATCTCAGCCGTTTCTGGGCCGATTTAGCTGAAACTTGGACTGTCGGTGGTAGTGTAGGGTAGGGTAGGGTAAGGGTAGGGTAGGGTATGGTAGGGTAGGGTATGGTAGGGTAGGATAGGGTAGGGTAGAGTTAGGTAGGATAGGGTAGGGTAGGGTAGTAGGGTAGGTTAGGGTAGCAGGGTAGGGTATGGTAAGGTAGGGTAGGGTAGGGTAGGGTAGAGTAGTAGTGTAGTGTAGGGTAGGGTAGGGTAGGGTAGGGTAGGGTAGGGTAGAGTAGGGTAGGGTAGGGTAGTAAGGTAGGGTAGGGTAGGGTAGGGGGTAGGGTAGGGTAGGGTAGGGTAGTAGGGTAGGGTAGGGGGTAGGGTAGGATAGGGTAGGGTAGGGGTAGGGTAGGGGTAGGGTTGAGTTCAAAAAGGGCCCAACATACAAAACACTTGAACACCCCGCAACTATCACCATCCCTTACAGTTTTAAAAACAGCTACCCAAATCTACCCAAATAATATAGCTAAAAATACAAGTCAATCACCCAAAACTAATGCACCCGTAACATAACATAAATCAATACATACAGTTATCGCGTAAACCTGTACCTCTAGTGAATATTAAATTCATAGTTTTGGATGTAGGTTTTTTAACGTTTTGGAGTTTGCCACATCATTATTAAAACAGACGCAGTGTTGATCATTAACAATTGTCCTTCAATCATTATTTGAATGCAATTTATCGAAAATGTCCATTCCTCAGGAATTCCTTCGGAAGGATCCCATTCAGCTGTTCACCGTTTGTAATCTCGACTGCAATGCGTCTCTGGATACAACCAAAACGTGGTCTGCTATGAAAATAAATGAATCGTAAGTATTAGACTGAGTCTGACCTTTTTTACGAAATCAATGGCCAGTCGGCAAATATATCGAAGAGTGAGACGTTAGAATTTGCTAATGAAAGACAGTAGTGACTAGTGAGCTGCTAATCATATTTTTGTTTGTTTTATGCCTATTACCACTCCATAGCGTTTTATTTACATGCCGTTTTGCTTATTTCAGATGGGGGACGGAGATGGAGTCGATTGATTTGACATCTCTCAGCTCGTACCAAAAGTCGTTCCTCTTCTTCCCTGCGCGCTTCTTGGAATACGGAACCTACAGAGTGGTGTATCGACTGGAAATATCAGGTACGTTCGCCCTGTAACGCGCCTAAACTGGCTTCTCTGCGGACATCAGTCTGACCAAAACTCGTCCTACATTAACCCTATTCCTGGCGGGGGGGGGGGGCCTCAGGAGCCCCCCCCCCTGAGGTTTTTTGGTTATTTCTCCCAAACGCGTCGAGCTAGGAAGCTCAAATTTTCTGACTTTTCCTAAAAGGCTTCTACGCAACATGTCTGAAAATTTTGAGTTGATCTGACCTCAGGTCAGGTCACCAGAGGCGGTTTGGTGACCCTACCTCAAAAAAGTTTGCAATCACGCCAGAGCTAGAGTTTTTGACCGATCAATTTCTTCTCTTCAGGCTTTAGTTAGGGTACCAGTATGTGCAATTTGTATATCTCGGAATTTTGATATCGGTGACCTAAGGTCAGGTCAGTTTCGCGACCTCCCCATTATAAGTCAATGGGGGAAAAATCAACTCCCTGTTTTTACCACTAAAACGGGTCGGAATGGCCCCATATACCATACATGACTTCATATACGATCAATCTTCACTACCTTCAGGTCTGTTTTGCTGTTGGGCAGCTGTGAGGTCATGTGACGTCATCAAAGGTCACCAAAGGTTTTTGGCCAATAACTCCGTACAGGAACAAGATACAAACGCGTGGATGGTCTCATTGTGTTCAGCTCGTCAAGACGCATCGAATGATATACATGATGACCTCGAGGTCACGTGACCTGAGGTCAACCTTTGACCTTGACCTTTCGAGGTCAACATATATATCATTCGATGCGGATTGACGAGAGGATCACGATGATGCCCTTAGTTTGCTCCTATCTTGACTAATTCGAAAGTTATTCGAGAAAAACTCTCTCCATATCTAGCGCCGCCATTTTGACTTTTTCGACCCCTGTGACGTCATCTTTGACCTGACCTGAAAATGACCTTAGTAAAAATTGTAGACCTTGTCCATGCGTATCCGATGCCGTTTACCGCTTGTCGCTATCTTGCTTCGTTCTCGAGATCTCAGGGGGGGGGCCGAATCGGCCCCCCCGCCAGTTTCTTGTCCCCGCCAGTTTCTTCTTGTTTCAGCCCGTGACAAATCCTTCTGTTGTGTTGTTGTCTCCGACGCCAACAGTCCTCAGACTTGCACTCTCATTTATTGCGTCCGCTCCCGGTCACCGACTCCAACACACTGCCCGCCTCTCGGCGGCGACCCAGCACCGCGCCGGCCGCGCAGGGCCACGCCCCTGACATTCGGGGCCGCGCCATAAACCACGGGCGTCGCGGTTCCTACGCCCGCGGTCGGGCCCGCGCCACAAGGGCCGAGGAGCCACCGCCTACGCCGCTATAACTAAACTACGCCACACTCCTCCCCCCTAAAGAAATTGCCCCTACAGGATGGTCCTCCTGAGTAAGATTAACGGTACACTTTCAAAACAACACAAAACGAGGCAACCACACATCATGTCAACATGAACACTCTCGCTGCGCTGAGCAGTCACCGAACAGCAAACATGACAATAGACCGGTTTACATAGGGTTTGTTGCAAGCTTATATCTCCGTCCGAGATGTTGCAAAAGATGCCAATGGTGCTTAACAATTTACAAAATGATCCCCTCTAAATATTTGAAGACCACTGCATCGAAATTATTGCCAAATTAACGAGCTAGAGCCTCGTCAAAAATGCTATGTAAACCGGGTTAATGTCTCCCAACATTACCGCCGCTGCTGCGCTGCTGCTGCCGCTGCTATTGCTGGTGCCGCTACTGCCGCTGATGCCGCTCGTGGAGTGATGCCCCGTCTTCTTAACCACTTCCAAGGTATCCCGTGGGAGCAGGTCACTGATCTTCCGGCAGCCCTCTGGGATCAGATGGACCCCATCTGGGAGGTATACCATGGGATGCTGCCTCCGCCGCCTGTGAGTTAGCCTGTGGCCGGGCTTGCCCTCCTTTAAACAGATTCGCAGAATTGAACAGCTAGCGCCTGGAATCGCTCTGGTGGTCTTACTACCCTGCCCGACCGGGTTTTGTAATAGCGGTTGCCCTCTACCTGCTCTGTCCGCGCAGCTCCACTTTCCTGTGCCCTTGGCTGAAGGAGTTCCCTTTCTTCCACCTCTGCCTCCAGGCTGTCATCATCCCGAGACTCGTAAAATGACAGCCGACTGCTCCGACACCACGGTGTCCCCCGCTTGGCATGTTCATTCCGTTTACTATTTGCAGATGCTGACCCATCAGCCATCCCCTGAGGTGGTCGAGCGTCCTTCGTCCCAGCTCCTGTTATCTGGCGACCTCGCCTGCGGAAAATCCTGCTCGAGAAGGCTGGTTTCAACCGGTTGTGGTGCACATTCGTCATTCTTCCTCCTGGCCCTTGCACCTTGTGCACCACACTCTGCTCTCCATACGATTTAACGATGGTGGCCGGCCCCTTGTATGGGAGGCCAAGCTTTGGCTTACCTCCCGCTGCCGTGACTTTTAATAGCCGCTGCTCTGACTTTTAAATCCCAGTCGGAGCCCTGTGGCTCGATAAACTTTGAGACGACGTCCTTGAGCGTCCTCATAAACCGCTCCACCATCCCATCGCTCTCTGGGTGGTACGGTGTTGTTCTTGTCTTTTCGATACCAAGCCTTCTGCATAGTTCCTGGAAAACGGCCGACTCAAACTGCCGCCCTTGGTCTGAATGAAGCCGCTCCGGAACTCTAAAGTCGCACACCCACAACAGCAGGCAGTCTGCCACCGTCTAAGCCTTTTGGTTTTGCATGGGGTAGACTTTTACCATTTTGGAAAAGTAATCCATTATTACCAGGGCGTAGCGGTTCCCTCTGCTAGAGCAGGGCATTTCAGTGATGTCCATTGCCACACGTTCAAACGGTCGGCTCACAAGTTCAGTTTGTAGCGGTGCTCTTGCTGTGGTAGACGACCGGTTCCTGCGCTGACACAATACGCAGGATTTGCAGTAGTCCCGGACCTCTCCGTACGCACCAGGCCAGTAGAACCTCTCCATCACTCGGTCTAGAGTCCTCCGGAAACCCATGTGGCCCGCTGTTTCATCATCATGCAGACTCTGAAGAACTTCTTCCTTCTTGCTCTGTGGGACCAGGATCCTGAAGCTGGTTTCTTCATTGTGTTTCCTCACGATGCCCAAAACATGGTCTCTGATTTCCAGGTTTTCAAAATTTCTGGCAAAAATCCGTCGCTTCCAAGCTCCTTTTGCCTTCGAATCAAACCGATGCACCTCGCCATCCTGCACCCATCGAATGACCTCAGACAGCACCTCGTCTTCTTCCTGGACCGTCCGCCAGTCTGTTTTCGCGAAGCCCTGTCCGCTGTTGGTAGACCTGGACATCTGGCTCGCCTGGTCCTCGGCTTCTCGACAGACGGCTGTCGTTCCGGTTTGGTGCTGACTCTGTTCTGACGTGTCATCTCCATTGCGATTCAGTGAATTTGGCACCTCACCGCTGTCCTGTTCCTTCGCACCCGCGAACGGAACGGAATGGACCGGGGGCATGAGCGACCCTGCTGTTGACTGGACGTCAGGCGCCACCTCTTGCGTCACCTCACCTCTTGCAGGTCTTCGTGAGAGTGCATCAGCGTTGCCGTGACTCTCGCCCGGTCTGATCTCGACCTCGAACTCATAGGAGCTGAGCTCCACTGCCCAGCGACCTCTTCTGCCCGTAGCGTCGTTTTCAATCACAATCGACTTTGGTAAGTTTCTCAAAGGCTTGTGGTCTGTGCACACCGTAAACGGCGAGCCAACCAGATATTGGCGGAAGTGGCGTATCGACCACACAATTGCCCAAAGCTCCTTGTCATAAGTTGGCCATCTTTTTTTCCGACTTAGACAGCACTTTACTGGCGTAGGCGACCACATGATCCTCACCATCGACTGTCTCGGTGAGGACTGCGCCTATCGACGCGTTGCACGCATCGGTGTCCAGCCTGAATTTGCCTCGGAACGTGGGCAGTCGTAGCACCGGTGCGGAGGTCAGCACGTATTTCATCCTTTCAAAGGCGTTCAACAGCTCGGGTGACCAATCGAGCGGGCCCTTTCGCGCTGCAGCCTCTCGTAACAGTCTAGTTTCCTCGGAATACTCTTTGACGAACTTGCTGTAGTAGCCACACAAGCCCAGGAAGCTCAGTAGCTCATCAGCGTTTTGAGGTTGTGGCCACTGAGCCACCTTTTCCACGTTTCTCGGGTCTGGAAGTATTCCTCCCGACATGACCTTGTGTCCCAAGAAGGTCACTTCCTGCCTGCCCAGGAGACACTTGCTCGGCTTCAGCTTCATGCCAGCTCCGCGGATCCTGTTGAACATCTCAGTCAGTGTCTCGAGATGGCCCTTTTCAGTGCCGTTGAAGACAATGATGTCATCAATGTAGACCAGGCACGTTTTGTTGTCCATTCCTGCCAAAATGAGTTCCATGAGCTTCTGGAATGTTGGTCCAGCGTTTTTGAGGCCAAAGGCCATGAGTCCATGACCTTGAAGTGATGAAGACCCTTGCCTGTTGTAAAAGCGGTCTTTTCTCTGTCCTCCGGAGCTATTTCGACTTGCCAGTATCCTGACGCCATGTCCAGCGAAGAAAAATATTTCGCTCCTGCCAGTGTGTCCAGTGCATCGTCCACTCGGGGAAGGGGATGGGACATCCCCTGAGTGACGCTGTTCACAGCTCGCAGATCCACACAAAATCGGTAGCTTCCATCTTTTTTCCTTACCATCACAATCGGTGAGCACCACGGACTGGTGCTTTCTTCTATGACGCCGTCTCTGAGCATCTCGACCTTTTGTTGTTCCACTTGATCTCGCAGCTTCAGTGGTATTCGGCGAGGCCTCTGCTTGATCGGAGCGGCATCTCCCGTCTTAATTTCATGTTGAGTGAGATGAGTCCTTCCGATATCATCGGCGCCCTTGCTGAATATGTCAGAGAACTCACGCACCAGCGCTTCTAGCTCTCGTTTAACTTCTTCTGACAAGTCACAATTCTCCAAATCCAGGCCTGAACCAGTCGTGACTGAAAGCTGTGCTGCATCGTTTGACGCATCTGCCTGCTCGCAGATATCGTACAAGTCCTTTTCTCCTTCCGAGATGGTGAACAACGTTCCTACGTCTGTGTGCTTCATGATTTTAGCCTCGGTCGTGCCGGTATTGACCACTTTGATCGGGATAACCCGATTGTCTCGGACGATCGCCACTGAGCGTGGCACCCATAGATGTTCCGCGTTCTTCTTCTCACATGGCTCTAAGACTCCCTGGAAGCTCTGGCCTGGGTCCATTTGCGACCCACCGTTCAAAGGTTCGACTTTTGCCAGTACGAACGCTTCTGAACGTGGAGGAATGATCGATGTCTGCAGAATGCGTACCCTTGATCTGCTCGGTTGGACTTCACTGTAAGACGGCAGCGGAATTCTCAATTTCCCAATGCGGCACTCGCCTGCCTCATCGTCCAGAACCGAGCGATACCGACACGCGAAATCTCGCCCCAGTACCAGGTCTACAATGAGGCCTCGTGTCACCGCCACTTTGCAGGTGAATGTTTCCTCTTGGATCCTGAATCCAATCTGTCTACATCCCAGGATGTCAATGTGTTCTCCAGAAGCCCCGAGAACAGAGGAGGCTGACCGTTGATCAATCAACCGGTCGCCCTGCTCCTCCAATGAGTTGGCCAGCTCTTCATTGATCAGTGAGAAGTCTGCTCCAGAGTCCAATAAGGCCCAAATCTGCCTCCCTTCCAACATCACCTTGATCATTGCTGCCGTCTTCCGAGGCTCCTCGCTTTTCCCAGCTGCTTCCCGCCTCCCGGTCGCAGCTGCGCTTAGTTTTCCGACAGATACTGGCTCTGACGGCTGAGCTCGGGTCGCTTCCGACAGGTAGCCATCCAGTGACCCGCCTTTCCACAGCACAGACAAAATGCTTCCGGTCTCTCGGTCACCTTTTGTCTTCTCGGTGAGGCATGCGGACAGTTTCTTCTAAAGTGACCCGGCTCCCCACAGCCGAAGCACCTTGCTTCTATTCTCTTTCTTTGGCGGTCCATTTCGTCCTTTGAACTCTGCGCCTCTCCGATCGCAGCGACGACGCCCAGTACCTCGTCCAGCTTCTCCTGCAGCCTATTAACTTTTTGTTCGAGCTGGTCTGCTGAGCTTGGCGCTTTTGCTACAAGCACCTGATCGGACGGCCTTTCCTCTGCGTCGTTCGAGCCACCGACGGCTCCGATAGCGGCCAGAGCATCCCGAGTCCGACGGAGACATCGCACCTCTTTTACGGCCTCGTCTAGAGTGCTCAAGGGCTTGTCCATCAATTTTGTCTGTAGCCAAGGCTCCTTTAACCCACACAAAAATTGACTCACTATAGCCGACTGTAGGTCTGAGAAAGATTTCTCGGGGTAGGCCCTCTTGGCCAACTCCTGGATTCTGTCGCCGAAATCCTCGAATGATTCTCCTGTTTGTCTGATAGCCTGGTTGAGGTCCGAATATGCGTGAATAGTGTTCACGTGTTTCCCAAAGCGTGCGCTTAGAGCGTTCTTGACCTCGGCGTATTGTCTTCGCAGCTCTTCTGGCATTGACGCGCACACGTCCAATGCCTTACCATCTAGGCATATAAATAACGCTTCGAGCCATTCGCTTTTGTCCCCCAGGCCTGCCAATAGCTCAAACCGCTGGATCCAAACATCCCAGCCTTCATCATTACCTCCGTCAAATTTCCTGATCCGGGATGTAAAGCGTAGAAGTTTATCCGACTGGAATTTCTGGCCTGTCTTCTCTTTCTCATCCATTTCTGTTTTGTGCACCGAGTGACAAGCAGAGTACACCTCTCGCTGCCCCCGCCTCCAGGTGAGTTATCGAGTGAGCAGTGGAGTGCACCTCTCACTGACCTCGGCACAAATAAGAATACCAAATAGTCCGGAGCGACGGGTGCCCTAACCGGGATAAGATACTCGGTAGAAGAAGGCAAACATAGGCTTCTTACCTTCGACCGCGCCAATGTTGTGTTGTTGTCTCCGACGCCAACAGTCCTCAGACTTGCACTCTCATTTATTGCGTCCGCTCCCGGTCACCGACTCCAACACACTGCCCGCCTCTCGGCGGCGACCCAGCACCGCGCCGGCCGCGCAGGGCCACGCCCCTGACATTCGGGGCCGCGCCATAAACCACGGGCGTCGCGGTTCCTACGCCCGCGGTCGGGCCCGCGCCACAAGGGCCGAGGAGCCACCGCCTACGCCGCTATAACTAAACTACGCCACACTTCCTCCCTGCCACTCTCCAGGCGAGGGCATGGAACCCGGCCAGCCGTTCATCAAGCGCGTGTTCTCGTACATCCGCGTGAAGCGGTCGCCGCTGGTGGTGACGATGCTGTCGGGCGGCAGCTCGGTCATCCAGCGCGGATACAACCAGATGGTGGTGCTGGAGCCCGAGCGGTTCTCCATGGACCCAGACTACCCGGAGGATAAGGTAGGTACGGGAGCTCGGAGTCTATGTCGGCAGGGAGAGACAGGTCTGCATAAAAGTTCTGTTTCTTATCTCGGTAGTTGTTGAAATTCGGACAGCGCTAAACGTGTAACAAATGCAAGAGCTAGGGGGCAACTAAATAATCTAGTAGCATAAGAGAAAGGCGGCTTTTCCTATAAAGCTTATAAACTGCTCCTTCGCTAGTATAATTAAAAAACGTTAATTTTTTGCGCTCAGAACCTGGACTACTCATGGTTCTGCCGCCGGTTACCGGACGAGAGCCTGTCGCGCACCAAAGCCGGCTGGTTCCGGCACACGGAACCGCGCCAGAACCCCATCATGAACGCCACCGTGGAACTGTACGACTGGGTGTACGACAACGTCACCAATGCGACGTACGAGGTGGAGCGGCCCGACCTGGGCGGCTGCTTCGGACAGGGACCCGGTGAGACGGGCGGATGGTGGTGGGGGCGTGGGAGAAGGGGCTGGGAGAGGAGAGAGGATATTGATCATAGAGTAGGGTGAATCGATTGACTAACAAACTTGAACGGTGCTCAATTAAATGCCGCCATTAGATATGATAAACAATGTTTATATCTTTCGCTGCTTTTCCGTTAAATTGGTTCACGAGCTGTAAAAGCACGTTTAACAGGAGGGAGAATAGACCAAAGGCTGCCTCAGTAAAGTTGGTACTTGTCATGCTTGCAAAATGCATCGACGATTCATTCATAATTAATTGTGATCATTTATCATGGTAAGCGGTAACAAGATCAGTGGATATATTCGCTAAAAAAACATTTTAAATAACAAATGCTAAGCGCTGAATGTCGATTTTTCCCTTAAGGAATGCTGAACATCACCGGCGGCCGGCTGGAGTTGAACACGCTCCAGTTCCGCACCAACAACGTTACCTACGAGATCAGCGTCCAGATGCGGAAGGCGGACCGGAGTGACGGACGGATGGCCACCGGCACCACGCTGGTCGAGGTCGTACCCGGCTCGCCGCCGCTCGTCACCGTCAGGTAGGTGACAGGGGAGATGGAAGGGTTTCGGATGTGACGATGTGGTTCGTATGAATGGGCCTGCCGCCGCGTCGGAGAACTCACTGAGCTGTTAGGCTGCGCCGCCTAGCGTCGGTGTCATGCGGCACAGTATCACGCTAGTTACCGTTTCCGCCGCCAGGTGTCAGGTGGAGGACATGTGTCGCGTCACGGAGAGCGGCTCGATCATCAACCCGAGCTCACGGGTGGCTCTGGTCGGATTCTGTGAGGAGCTCTGCGAGGGTGCTCTCCGCTGGAACTGGAGAATTCTGTACATACGAAACAATACAGGCAAGTCACAACTGGCATGCCACTTAGGTATTGCATTGAACGGGAAAAACTGAACGGTTAGGCATATCGTGGTTCGTATTTTGCTCAATTTTAATTGTCTTCAGCGGAATTATGTTTCGGTTTGTTTACTTGGCATTCTTTTCCTCAACAATAATGGCCGTCGTAGGGTCAAGTCGTACCTGCAGGCCAGGTCTTTATACCCAAATTAGGTAGAACGTGGTGGGACGGTTACGCCATCCCCATTAACATCACATACTAATTCATCTAAAGTCCTAATCAGCCAAGCGTTTAGCTCGCCAACTTTTCTAACAAAACCTCTCCCACGATCTTACCCTTAGAGCATCTGATCAAGGACGGCGACAAATACATCATCGGCGTCGGCAAACCGTCGGTGGCCATCAAGAAGTCGCTGTACACAGATTACTCTGATGTGGTCGAGTTTAGGGTCAAGCTCCGAGTGATGCGAGTGTCGGTAAGGACGCCTGGTTTAGCTGTCAGTGGTAATGGGTAAACCGACAGATCAAAAGATAGTGCATAAACACCACATGACTGCCGAAACACGCTCGAACTAGAGATGCTGAGAATGTGTTGATTTTTTTGTAGACATGAGCCTCCAGCGTCACATGTGGTCACTATTTAGCTCCCTGGCACCCCTGCACTTGCATAACTTGAGCTGGCTGTTGGCTGGCGCGCAAGATGTGGCGCAGAGGCACACCCATAGGTGCTCTTCTGGTATAGTCTAGCCACCCCTCCCATCCTAATTTTAAAATCACATATCCTTTACCATCTCTCCTTGCCCACAGGACGGTGAGACCGGCGAGGCCACCATGTTCCTGCTGCTGAACCAGGCCCCCCTGGGCGGCACGTGCACGGTCACGCCGCCCGAGGGCAGAGTGGTGAACCTGCTGTCCCGCGGCGTCTCCGTCAAGGACTACGACCCAGCCACGGTACTGGCGACGGGCGGAGGCGCGTCAGCCGACAACGGGACCGGTGAGGAGCGAGGGATTCATCTCTTATCGTGTAGCGAGGCGCGTCGAAAGTTTGTAATTGGGCGAGTTATTGAGGCGACAAATGAATGCTGTATTGAATTAAATTATTTAGGGAAATACATTAATAATCTGTGTGCCCTCATTCCTGGTTAGTACCTACATACCTGTTGATTTTCATTCGGCAGCTACGGAGTCGGATCTACCCATTCCTGGAAGAGCGCTCATTGAAGATTGGTACGTTGAATGCAAGAACTTCAAAGACCCGGAGAAGGACAGGATCGGCAAATATCTATTCTTCAGTAAGTCTATTGTGAACAATTGCCGCTTTCCATCTGTGTTGCGTGCACATTTTGAAATTTCAATGGTGTAATGAAACGTGAAGAAAATGCATTGATTTAAGAAGCCATTTTTTTCAATTTGTTAAGCGAACCCCTAGCACTTAATATTTTTCGTTTAAAAGGACACCGATAGACTTAAAAGAATACATCACCACTGCTAAATCTTATAAATGTCGTTTATAAATGTCGTGGAATGAATATGGCAGCACTGACTGAACTTCAACTGTAGAAAACGGCTATCTAGCGCAAAATGGTATTCACGCATTTCAGTCATATATAGACTATCATACATATATTGACACTTCCAAGAATCGTTACGTGGACTCGGATAAGCATTTGGAAGCACTGGCATCACTGGAAATGTTACCAAATGCCGTGAATAGAATAGCATGCCCTTTACATATAAGATTGGGCCTAAGATAAGATAAGATAAGCCATGAGCCCGCATGCCTCCCCCTCCTAAAAAAATTAACGTTGTCCAGAGCCCTCACAGCTTGCGATATGCCACCTGCCGTGGGCAGCAGCGGCGCAGTCGTAAGGCGGTCTCAGGCCACAGACGTGAGCGTCAGCCGGGGTGTGTCGCTCACCTCCCGTCCTCTGCTAGCTAGACTCCAGCACCGGCCGCCCCCCCCCCCCCCTACACTGCACCCTCGCTCGCGCATGGACACCGGTCGCCGCGCCGGGAGTCGCCTGTCGGTCGGCCGTCAGTGCCACAGCGCCTCACTCGGCCGGCTCGTCCCGGCGGTGAAAGAACGCCTCCGACTGGAACACCTCCGGCGGAGTGTACGTCTTCGGCTCCTCCGCCGTGTCGACGCGTCGGTTCTGCCACAGAGCTGAGAGCGTCTGTGTGAGGGGCGCGGGTGACGTGAGCCGGCTCTCAGCCAGCTGAAGCTGCTGCTCCAGGCGGCTCACCTGGTCGCCGGCCGTGTTCACAAACGTCTCCACGGCGTCCACCCGGTCAAACAGCTGCTGCAGCGGCTGGCGGGCCTGCCAGAGACGGGGCACCGCCTCACTGAGCGCGCCGCCCGAACAGTCGGCCATCATGTCGAGCAGGCTGCTGAACTCCTCCACCTTGGCGAGCATCTCTTCCAGCGCGGCGTCCAGCGCGCCGCACTCTTTGGAACAGTCAAACTGGGGAGAAAAGAAACAAAAGCTTGAAACATCTCTGAGATCACCTTTTTTTGGTTAACCTGCGCCCCCTGGGGGTCCTGGATTCCCACGCCCTGCTGGGGGGGGGGGGGGGGGGGGGCGGAGGTTGAACACAAGATAGTCCTGTTAAAAGCACAGCATGTCTCCAGGTCTATGGATTTCTTTGATCTAGAAAACATAGGCATTTTCCGTAAATCCACTAACATTACCATGTCTCCCTATCGCCGTTTCAGTAAAACACCCGCTGCATGAGTTTATCCGTGTGATGAAGTTCGGAAAGGAGCGAAAGGACAAGTTTGTGTTCCCATACGGTGTCTGGGAGCTGTGGCTCACTATCAACGACAACTACGGCGCCTATCGAGACGTCTTCATCGAGACCATCATGGTGAGATAGTAGTCGAGCGCTTTTATTCATCGCTTGGTTTTCATTGTAGGCCTCAGTGACAAGGACCGTCCGCTCATTCCTAAGAAAACAAGTTGGAATGCTTATTCAATTAGGTCGTATTTCTTGGTAAACGATGCGGCTGCTGTTGCAAGTTGCATATACACGTTACTTGTCTTCTGTTTCCATTAACAACTCTTTTTTCGCAGACCTCTGCGCCCACAAAGGGCGAGTACGCCGCCTGGGAGATGAAAAAGGACATCCCACGTGCGATGGGTGAGGGCGACCAGCCGCGACTCAGCCAGCTCCTGATGGCCAGGTCGTCCATGCAGGACATCGAGCTGCCCGACGACCCGGTAAGAAATATCGAAAAATGTCAACGCTGCGCAGCCATAGAACAACAAACTAATTACTTGAGGTTTGGCAGTAGGTCTACCTGAAATGGTCATCTCAACCGAGCTTGAATGATAGCCTGTCATTAACTGATGTGTGGATAGTAATGGCTTTGAATTGCCTGTCCTAATCTCTGGATTAAATATTATCGAACGACCTCGACGTTGCGAACAACGGACGCAGAAACCATTGACCGTATCTCTCTCTCTCTCTCTCTCTCTCTCTCTCTCTCTCTCTCTCTCTCTCTCTCTCTCTCTCTCTCTCTCTCTCTCTCTCTCTCTCTCTCTCTCTCTCTCTCTCTCTCTCTCTCTCTCTCTCTCTCTCTCTCTCTCTCTCTCTCTCTCTCTCTCTCTCTCTCTCTCTCTCTCTCTCTCTCTCTCTCTCTCTCTCTCTCTCTCTCTCTCTCTCTCTCTCTCTTCTCTATCCCCAGACGGAAGCCACCACCACTCCGGCTTACGAGTATTACGATGAGTCCGTCGAGACAGAGACCATGGATCCCGATGAGCTGCTGGAGATCCAGGCAGAACAGGAGAGACAGAGGCTCGACGCGCTCAACAGCAAGGCGTCCGTGAGTTCTGCAAGCAATTTTTAGATTTCTTTGACTGCTGAGGTGGTAATGGTATTGATTTTGATTATATACCTTTGCCACATCTTTGATGGAAACGCGACTCGTGATAGCTATCGACTGTCGAGGTTCGAGAATCGAGGTACTTTGTTCAGGAGACTGAGAGACAGCAAGTGTCGCAACAAAAATGCATTCAACGGCAATTGTTTAGCGTATCAGAAGGCCCTTTTCTCAACAAATGCTGGAAAAAAGGCTACCATAATTTCATGAACGCTTGCAGGAGAACCGTCAGATGCTGGGTCAGCTGGATAACCTGAACCAGAACACGCTGGACGACTGCACCATGGTGCTGGGCGCCACAGCAGCCATCGTCGGCGACGGGAAGGCCGTCGACTCGACAGGTACGGTTATTAGCCAGTCGACCCGACCGGTGGGCACTTAGGCAGTCGAATCGACGGGCAGGCAGTTTGACTCGACAGGTAGGCACTAAGACTAGACAGGTAGGCGTTTGGGCAGTCGACTCGACAGGTAGGCACTGAGACACAGGGTTGGCATTTTTGCCGGCAAAAACTAGTTTATGCCATTTGCCGGTTTAAACCGGTTTTAACCGGCAAAAACTGGCAAAAACTGGCAAAAACTCAGAAATATCACAATGCTATGCCTAGACATGATTTTGAACAGGAAACATTTTAAGGAGAATTCGGTGAAAGCTTTATGCTTTCAAACAGAAGCGACATTGACCATTGAAATGTTTCATACCTAACTCAGAATCATTTTCATGGGCTATCCATAAGGAGCTAGTAAGATGCCTTTTGGGGGTGACAAATGAGCCAGTGCAAGGGTGACTGGGTGAGTCCTGCACAATCAGAAGTGCGAAGAGGTATCTGCCACTGATATGCGCACGGCACCGCATGGCACCCTACTTACCGTGGCCGCCTTGTCCCTGTCTCCCCTTACATGGAAAAACATTCCGTTGTGGATGTCTACCGACATGCATAGACATTTTAAGCAGGGATAAGTAATGAGGCAACTTCAGAATGTTTAGTGCATCTATGTATATAACTACTAGAAATGCATTTGTACATTTCAAATCCATTCCTAACTAGACAAGTTGAAGGTTTGGCCATCTGAGTTTTAGCCAGTTTTTGCCAGTTCTTGCCACCAGGGTTTCTGCCAGCCGGTTTAAACCGGTTAAAACCACTGGCAAAAACCAGTTTTTGCCACCCCCTGCCAACCCTGCTGAGACAGTCAACTCGACGGGTAGGCGCTGGTTGGAGCAAGGGGATTCGGACAACTTTTAAACCTTTGTTTTGATTTCATTATGTTCATGCATTGTTATGCTAAATATATACGATATAATTGTGCATATAAGCTGCTAGCAATAGACCAGGAATTGATAAGATTCTGTCCCACATGAAATTCATTCCCCACTCCAGGTTATAAACGCTGGCTTACACCTGTGTGTCGTGTGGGTAAACATATTCAATTCTCATTGATGGCTCGACCCGTAACAATTTTTCATAACAGAAAATGGGTGCCGTTGAATTCACCCCGTCCCCTCCACCAGCCAAGGACCTGGCCATCGACGCGATCGGCGGAAAATGTCTGCAGGATGTGCTGCTCAATTCGACCATCAACGACCCGAAAGAGGCGGCCGGAATGGCCACCAGCAGCCTGGGATCCGTCACAGCCGTCGGCAAGGTCGGTGATCAATGGAAGACTGCGTGGCTACGGGCCAATGGCCATTGGCCAAATATAGCATAAACTTAGCAATGTCAGGCCTCGTGATTTCTGGCCACTGCCATAAACTCAGTCTTGAATGTCACACTTTCCGGTTAGCTAGCAATGACACAGAACGTGAGCTTTCGTGGCAACAGTCTAAAGTCTAGAAATAATCAAAGTTAGAATTGGATGCCTGAGGTCACGAGACAATGCTGTGTAATACAAACAGCAAAAAGTATGTGCTGTTACACTTCTGTTGCGTAGCGACTGTCGTCAGCACGAATCTACAACATTGCTTCTAGGCATAATTGGCTGCGTTATCCAATCGTGTCCCTGAATTAGCAGCTCCAGGAAGCCGAGACGAGCACAAACTCTGGTCCTCGCCGTCTATCCCCTCATCCTCCCTCCCCAGGGTATCGATAACACCAATCTGGACGGAGCAGTCGTGCCGTCGGACGTGGTAGAGGCTAGGCGGCGGAGGAGCACCGATTACCCCGAGTACGAGGTGTGTGAGGAGGGTGAGGAGCCGCCGCCGCCCGATCCTGAAGACCCGGATGCCCCCACCTGCAAGACGCCCACGCAGCTGGCAGTCATGGTGAGTGGTGAGAGGAAACTAGGGTATGTTACTGGAGTGATTTAGTGGAACCTTTCAGTGGGCCTTTTGTTTTTGATTTGATTGAGGTTTAGAAAAATCAGTGGAAATTAGGGAGTGGAAAAGGAAAAAATGACGTGAAGGTGGTTAGTGACTGAGTGGGTGAGAGTGAACGAATGAATGAGTGATTGATTGAGTACGAGCGTGCAAGAACGAGAGCGTGAGTGAGCGAGTTAGTCCGAGTGAGTGAGTGGGTGGATAAAGGAAATAAAGAAATAGAGAGAGAGAGAGAGAGAGAGAGAGAGAGAGAGAGAGAGAGAGAGAGAGAGAGAGAGAGAGAGAGAGAGAGAGAGAGAGAGAGAGAGAGAGAGAGAGAGAGAGAGAGAGAGAGAGAGAGAGAGAGAGAGAGAGAGAGAGAGGAGGAGGAGGAGGAGGACGTCGACGATATGCTCTGCAGATCCCGTTTCTAATTCACCGCTCCACGTCGTCAGGACCTGAAGCGGAAGGCGGCGCGTCAGGTGCCCACGATGATGGAGTCGGTGAAGCAGCTGCAGGAGAAACTGATGTCGATCGTGCTGCCCGGGGAGGACCCGTTCACCCTGAGGACCCCCGACGGACTTGAGATGTCGCTCGTCATGTGAGTCTGACAGAAATTTCCTCAGCACCATTCACTAGTCACCATCCGGGCCATTCCAGCATTCACAGTTCACACCGGATTTCTTCACGGCGAGATAAGCAAACTTAGACGGCAACAAACTTCTATGGCATATGTGCAATGATATTTTCTAGAAGACTAGAAGATAAACCAGGATGTGACATTCCGTGTGTCCATATTTGACAGGATGGAGGGCTGGGCACTGGACGGTTACCGAATGCGGCTGGGAGAGGCCGAGTACCAGTTCCCCAGTCTGTGCGCCATCCTGCATGAGGAGTCCAACTGCAGCGCTGCCTACAACATGACTGTCGGCCTGCAGACCATCAACTGGCCCACGCTGCTCTATGTGAGTACACTGGCGGGGCGACTGGCGATAGAGCCTGCCTGGAACGTGGGTTGGTGAAGCCAGGATGCATATGCGTAATTGGTGGTGTGTCGTGAAACCCGTTGAAATCTGACTTCCCGTGGATTTACTTTTTCCTCTCCCTTTTATCATTCTTTCTTCCTCTCTCTCTTCATTCCTCTTCCTTTCTCTTCTCTTCTCTCTCTGTTCTCTTTTCCTCTATGCACGTACCTATTTCCCGTTACTACATCCCCGCCCTCTGCCCGCAGTCATACGGCGATGGTACGGAGGCGGTCAGTCGCGACTCGTCCAACCTGCAGCTGAAACTGGTCCAGCAGCTGCCGGGTACAAATGAGCTCGAACAGGTGCCCGTGTACGACCTGCCCAGCCACCAGCGGGTGCGCATCACCGTACCGCGAGGGAAGCAGGGAGAGAAACCCGTGCTGCCAGGTGGGTCCGTATGGGGTAGCGGTAGGGGTAGATAGGGGGAGGATGAGTCTTACCAGGTGAATGATTGAGCGAGTTATAGTGACTGATGCATATGTTGTGTTTAAGAATGTATATTTTCGTATGATTATTTCCTCATAGCGTCACCAATAAGTACTGAGATTTTTTATGAGATGATCCATTGAATAAAAACGGCCGGTTTTATCTTTAACCGCTTTGTTGTCGTGGAAACACTCTTGGCCAGCCAATCCTTTAAATTTAGCCTTCTCCCCTCTCTCCCCTCTGGTCCGTCCGACAGACCCGACGTTCGTGGAGCCGCAGCCGAATGACCGGGAGTTCATGGTGTACCACTCGTTCAACGTCACCCACCCGTACGTGGCCATCAACGTGGAGGTGTCCGTGTCGCGACCGGACGCCCAGCTGGTGGTGTTCCTGAAGCGCGGCAACAAGCCCAACCTGACGCACTACGACTGGGTGTGGAAGGTGCAGCTGCCGGAAAACTTCACCGTGGAGGGTAGGTGGCCGGGGAGCGGAGACGAAATTTGGGGGTGGGCGAGCGGATCTTTACTGCTTTGTCGGCCTCGACTTTATGTGCTGAGTCTTGAAACCGGCTGCAACATATTTTTCGTAGCAAATTATATCAGAAAAGTTTGTATTATGGGACTGGCTTCACAAAATCACAAGTCATTACATCTTGTTCCTTAAAAGTTTTAAATGGATTTATCAAGGCAACGGATATCTGTTTCAGTATCGCAAGAGCCAATGGAAGAGCCGATACCGATTACGACTGCCGTCCCCATGACAACGGTGCAAGGTGAGTTGGCAGACGGCTCGCTGGCACCTCCTTCTGCCATCATGAATATCACATATACCTTGACGATAGGAAGGTTGCTAGATAAATCCGTATCAAATGCGAGAAACACCATAAGGGCATAAACGAAGGAGATAGGTCGTGACACCACCACCGTAACGTTTCACGTCACATTCCAGTGCCGTTTTGCGAAGAACTGGAGGGTATCAATGCCACCAGAGGAACAAATCAAACGTGCATTCCTGGAGGAACAACCGAACGTGAGTATAGAAAGCAGCCAGCAGTGCATTGAGATGCGGGTGTGCATCCTAAGCTTCAGCCTATTACAGGAAGAGGCCCGTCGTCGGGGACAAAATCGACCCATTCCAGACCATCAACTACTCAGCCCGGGAGGTTCTCTGGTAGCGGCAGTAGCTCTCACTGGGATGGTATCCTGCTAGCTTATTGCATGGGCACTGCATGTTACGAGACGGACTTTGCCCCAGCTCAGAAAACATAGGTATAAAAAAAAACGATATAATGCCTAATAAACTCTGTGCAGATACACCAAACATGAATAATTGTTCTTTCCGCCAACTAACCACCAAACATCTCGCCCAACAGCTCCCATCATCTGTGCCGAGGACCTCATAACCACCGAACCCACAACGGCGGGACAAACCATGGAAACCACCATGTCACAGCTGAGCATTGGCGACGGCGGCAGTGTCACAGAAGGCACAGTCGGTTCGGAGATCAACACAACAACACCGGACGGACGCGTGTGTACCCCGGTGGTGGTGACAGCGACACCGCCCGACGGCGCAGCGCCCGAGCCGCGTCCCGTCGAGCCCACCAACTACATATCAGAATATGTCCGGCTCAGAGTCGGTGAGTTGAGCTGAGAGATGGAGGAAGTGTTTTCATGTTATTTTTGGGACAATTAGAAGACGGAAATCATTCGGATTAATTTGAATTTGACAAATGATAGAAATGCTGAGTGTTCAATAGTATCATGAGGACCATGGTAAAAGGTCATACGACATCAGTGGTAGATACTTTTGCCGAGTTGGGGTTGCACGGGCGCAGCAAGTCCGCCGCTGCCATAGCGGTGACCTTGACCTCCACCGTCTGTTGCGGCTCCAAAGCCAAGCCGGCGTGAAATTGGGAAAGCTCGTGCTACCCCAACTCGGCACAATTCTCCACCACTGAACATCAGTAAACTACATTACACGGTTCCTCCCTTTTGTAATTTATCCTCATCAACCTTACATTTACCAAAATTCAGTAGTCATTTTTTATCCAGCTTGTGTCATCATTTTCCGTACCGTTTGACCGCCCAACCTGGCGTCTTTGTCACCGCCAGTGCCGAACCGCGCGCTGGAGCCGTACGACCCGTACGGTAACGACTCGCTACTGTACTCCTTCCCGCTGTACGACATCTTCATACCCGACTGGTACGTGGACAACATGACTGGTGAATACTGGATCGGCGTGGCCGAGTTCTCCAACACCACTGACGACGAGGTGAGGCAACGGTGGGGAGATGGTGGAGTGGGAAGGGAATGATAGACAGGATAGGGGTAGAAAACAGGTTGAGCGAAATGGAGAGAGAATGAAGGGAAATAAAGTGGAAAAGGAGCGAAGGGCGAGAGATTAAAAGATAAGTAAACCAATAAAATGAAAATAATTTATATCAGAACAATGGATCACAAATGACTGATGAAGAGAGTCACTGCCAACCAACCACTTTGCTTTCTTCAGCCATCGAATCCGACGTTTCTTCGCCTCCAGGAATTCTTCGACGACCCGTTGTCAGTGAACCTGACCATGTCTAACATGACGCGGGTGTATTCGACAAACTACACTGTACGGGTGTACACCTCGAGCTGCCTGTTCTACAACACGCTCAGTGACTCATGGGACAGCGACGGGTGCACGGTGAGATGTATTAATACTGTCGAAAACATAAACGTCGACGATTGATTGATCGACATTCGGGTCATATGTGAAGCACCAGATGTTAAGAAAAGTGAGAATTTGACGTCTCCTAAGAAGAGAAGGAACCTTTCGTTTTAGCCTCGCATTACGCATTAATGGTGATCTTGCATGATCTGACGACTGACGTCATTCATCTGACGACTGACGTTATTGTTTCAGGTGATTGACGCCAACCATAAGGCGACCATGTGTACCTGCAACCATCTGACTTCCTTCGGCTCAGGGTTCTTCGTAATGCCCAACGCCATCGACTTTGACTACGTGTTCGCTAATGCAGGTGTGTCCGGGAAAAAGAACTCATACTGTAATTCATATTTGTTTGTGTGCTCAAACGAAAGTAATCCCTGCAATCTGAAACCGAGTTGGTTACAAGATGAAACAACGGTTTAAAATACGGCGGAAGGTTTCGACCTGTCGAGCATATCAATGAAGACTTTCTTTCTTTCAGGTTTTATGGATAACCTATCGATATATCTCACGCTGATTATCTCCTTCGCTATCTACCTGATTTTGATGTTCTGGGCGAGATGGAAGGATAAGAAGGATCTTCAGCAGATTGGAGCCACGCCGCTGCCCGACAACCATCCGAGCCATAAGGTTGGTCAAATGCCGAGTCATGAGGCTGGTCCACCTGGATACTGGATCGTCGATATCACTTGTTAATACGTGCGAGACCGATTGTCGACGCTGAGTTGTCGAATGACGAATGCTCCATCAGCTCAATCCGGCTTATCACCTGCTCTTTCCCCCACAGTATCTATACGAAATCCTCATCATCACGGGCAGCAAAACCAACTCGGAGTGCGACAGCAAGGTGCAGTTCATCCTGTCGGGCGAGCGGGACGAGACGGACGTGCGCACGCTGGCCGACCCGCAGCGTCCGATCCTGCGCCGCTCGGCCACCGACAGTTTCGTGATGGCCACGCCGCGTCCGCTGGGCCAGCTGAGCTACCTGCGCATCTGGCACGACAACTCTGGCAAGGGCGGCGCCGCCTCCTGGTACCTCAACTTCATGGTGGTGCGCGACGTGCAGACCGGAGAGAAGTGGCAGTTTATCGCCAACAAGTGGTTCGCCGTGGAGGAGGGAGACGGACAGGTGAGACGGGGTGCGGGAGAAGTTCTCTGTGGATGTAAGGAGTAGGTGGAAGGTGGAGGGGGTGATGGATAGTTGAAGAGGGGAGGATGAGGGCCTCCTATTATGTAGAAAGTGAAAGTTACGTTTGGATATTGAGGAATAGGACAGAATAGCGAGACCGAAAAGAATGGCACAAAGCGAAAAAATTTGGTGAATGACGGTCACTTAGAGACGTTTACGTATCAGTTTTATTTGGACCTTACATAAAATCGCAGCGAAATGCCGGCTCACTACAGCATTTTGAGTTTTTCTGAACCGTTCACCGCCGATCGTTTCCAGATCGACCGTCTGCTGGCGGTGGCCGGCCGGGAGCAGATGCTGCAGTTCCAGCACCTCTTCAACACCAGCTCCCGGAAGAACCTGTCCGACGGCCACCTGTGGTTCTCGGTGTTCATGCGGCCGCCGCGCAGCCGGTTCACGCGCGTGCAGCGGGTCTCGGCCTGCATGGCGCTGCTGTACCTCTCAATGCTGGTGAACGCCATGTGGTACGGCCTGGTGCCGCAGCAGCCGGGCACCGGCTCCATCTCCTTCGGACCGTTCTCGCTTAGTCCGGAGCAGATCGGGGTCGGCGTCATGGCCAACCTGATCGTGTTCCCGCCGTCGTTCCTCATCGTGCTGCTCTTCAGAAAGTCGCGACCGCGGCGCCTCCACGAGAATCGCGTCGAACAGGCCGTCAAAAAACAAAGTGAGTAGCGATCTACTCGTCTTGGCTTAGAGACCATTAAGTGCAGCTTAAATAGTATGATTGGGAAATAAGGATTAATTAAAGCTAAATGAGCTGGCTCTCCGTAAAATCATTTGAATTGGTAATAGACTACATTACGATAAAATCGAATCCAGGAAAGGTATGCGTCTCACAAATTTCTTCATATGGTTTCCAGGAGAGGAACAGATAAAATCTGGGAAGTTCCAGGATGAGCCGGCGAGGGCCAAAACGGCGAAAAGGACCGAAGACCCCTCAGAAAATGGCGAAGATGATGAAGATTCTATGAGACCTTCTGCAAAAGCTCAGCCTAAAAAGAAACCCTTCTCCTTCCCATGGTGAGTTTTTACACGAACAGTGTTACCTTTTTAAAGCCAGATCTTGTCTGAGACCAGTGTGGCTTTCGTCAGTTTCTTACCGTGGCAAGTTACAAAAAAAGAGCAATAAGCCTTCACGGCTCCAACCATTTTTCTCAACAGGTGGTGCGTGTACATCGCCTGGTTCCTGACGTTCGCCAGCATGGGCGCCAGCATCTTCTTCCTCTGGGCGTACGGCATCACGTTCGGCAACGAGAAGACCACCAAGTGGCTGACCTCGCTGATGATCTCGTTCATCTCGTCCGTGCTGCTGACACAGCCCATCAAGGTCGGCTCACGGCTGCAATACTTTTAGTGCATAGATCTGCGGGGCCTCGTGATCATGGCAACTTTAGCAAATGTACTTAAGCATTGTTTGAAATTCAATATGATAGAAGAGTCAGGGTTCCAACTGATACATCTTTCGTTAACTTGAAGAATATTCCTCTAAGGTGACTCTTGCTGCCAAATTCGTCAGCGCACCAAATAACTAATGCATTTGGAGTCGAATCCAGAATACAACGATTGAACGTGTCTTTCGATTGTTTCACTGATGAAGGCCTGTGGCCGATTTATTTGGAAACATTTAAATCTATATAATTCTAACCATAGACCTCTGTATACATGGACTGGACACAGAAAATCCGGCCATGACCACAACGGCCCTAAAAGTAAATGCTTATAACTCGAGAGTCAGTTCACCTACGACATCCATTTTTTCACCACCGCGGCGCATAGCCCCATTCATTGAAAATGATGGGGATCATCCGCCGCACCGATGCGGTGTAACGGGGGAGCACCAGCACGTGGCGCGTGAGAGATGTTTGTGAAAATGGCGTGACAGTATCTCGGGAACGGCTTGACCGAATGAGTCCAGATTTGGCACACAGCTAGGTATTACACACCTGCCAATAACGCATGTCCCAATTTTGAGGTGCCGATGCACGCAAAATCCCAATTGCAGGTGCCGGTGCGACTGCACGTGCGCACGTGCACACCCCTTGTTCATATCTTGGAAACTAGCCGCCCGATTTAGCTGAAATTTTGCATATACCCAAGTGTCTTATAACCATTGCTGGTGTTTGTCTCAATGTTGAGGTGCCGCTGCACGTGCGCACGTGCGCACCCTTCCATTATATCTCGGAAATAAACAGTCCCATTTCGTTGAAACTTTGAATACAACCATGGTCCCCACAACTACCGCTTATTCACACCTGAATAGTTGATATCATAACTAAAAATAACAACAAACGACTTAAAACTGTTGATCGTGTAATCCAACAGATTATGATCGTTGTAGTTGTATGCGGATAAATATCCGGTAGTTGGTGAGCATTTGAGCTAATTTCCTATGCTGTTGTATTCTAGGATACTTGTTCTCAAAAACAGTATAACGTTAAATCGGTTTTATTGCTCTGAAAGGGGATAAAAGTGCAACGCTCATGACGGACCGTCTTAAATAAATTCGTCTTAATGACGGCGACGGAAAAGAGCACGTGACTTTCTGTAAAGTATCATTAGCATTATTCCCAGACCTACGTGTTTTGTCATAAAATAGGCATAAAGCAAGGCATAAAGTTGGAATTGTATATTTAAGTTTCGCTTTTAAGTGTTTCATATTGAGGACTTATCAAGTTTCGGTTGAATAATTGGTGTCGGTGTGCATACAAACTGATACGTTATTAAATGTCACAAGTAGAAGGTTATTTGTTGAACAATTGTTCGTTTTTTAGCTGCATTTTGGAGAAGACCATTTACCTACAAGAGCCCACAGGAAGAGCAAGCAAACGTTCCTGATTGACGCATCGTTACATCTATACACTGTGGTTCCATCCACCCTTAGCCAGATCCTTCCAGGCGTGAGTAATGCTTTATAACTTGCTTCATTGTTATTTGTCTTTGCTGCTTTTTCTCTGGTATGTTTGCTCGCCAAAGTCGGTATTCAATAAACCAGATTAGTTACTGCACTGCCTGCCATGGTTGGAAGGCATGCTCGTAGACAAGATAATCAATGTCATCGAATTCGAATCAATCTATTTGTAAGTGTCTTTGATTAAACTGTAAAATAGCAATCTTGACGCATTTACATTCATTATTACTTTTAAGTCGTTTGCCTCTCAATGCAGATGTGCTTGTAGGACGTAGGTTAATATCAAGTATCACTGTGTAAAGGCAGTTTTGCAATACATAAATCTATCCGAAACCTCAATTTTACAAACACATTTACTTGTTCTTGTCATGCTATCGTAATGACTTTGTGGATCATGCTTGGCGAGGGCCGCTTGTTCTTAAAAGTAAAAGATTACCGCCAAGCACACATTATCCTATAAAGTGTGACCGACATACTTTTTTCTCTATTTCTTTCAGTGACGCCACTCACAGAGATAGTCAACGAGCCGCCAACGAACAATGCCCCCAGGATAGCACATCATCGAAATGCCAACTCCAGGAGCAGCAGCAGTCGCCGACATGATGTAGGAGGGAAAATTGATCAGCAGTGTTCGGTGCTTGCTGAAGAGTACAGTGACCTCATTAAGCACTATTTGGCACAGTGAGGCTGATACAGCCTTTGCTCCCGGGTGTAGCCCACGATGCAGCTCCACAGGCTGACCTGATGTGGAGAATCATTGCCTACAGCGTCGTTCATCGGGATGCGTGGACGGAACACTGGAGCACGCAGCCGCTGTCCTAACGATCCCGCTCTCCGCCATCTGGCTGCTCCAGCGGTAGCTACGTGCGACTGTCAGCTGACCGCTGCATAGCCCCGCACAGGCCGTAGTAGCAGGGATCGAGCCGGCTCCGGTCGCCGCCCAGCAAACTATTCTGCCGGCCAAGGTCCTCACCGAGTTGTACGGCGCACGCTCTCTAAAAGAGTGGCCCATTTAGGACATGATAGAAAAGGAGCGACAAGATCGGCCGCAGTGTCCGGTAGGCCGGCGAGGCCGAGTCGCTCCGCCGATCGAGCAACTGCTGACGCCTTTGAATCTAGGCAACTCCTGGCTGGAGGCGCTGCGGCCCAAGTGTAGCGCCTGACGGCTGACGGCAGCACAATACAGCTGCAATGGGCCCCAGCCCACTGTGGACTCGCCGACAACGAGAGGGCGGACGCCCTGGCCAAGGAAGCGGCCGGGCTGTCCCAGCAGATGACCCCGGTTGACGTCCGCACCCTCACGCAGGTCGTTGCGCGGTCCACCAAGAAGAGGTGGCAGGTGGACTGGCCAGCTGGCTAGTATCGCACCGTCATGGGGGACCACGACCCACGACATCCAATGCGGCCTTGGCCACCGGCTACATGGCCCACAAGGGTCGTGTATCGGCTAAACGCTACCGCGTGTACTTTTCTGTCATCATTTTGACGAACACCCAGACCGCACAAGGGACACTGCATGATGATCCAGTTTAGCAACCAAGAGCTCAGTAGCCGTCAGCGCCATATGAATGGAATGCCATCCCGCTTCATCCTTCTTCCCATTTTCATCCTACCGCCATCGGTGGTGGAAGACTATGACCTGCACCAGCACTTATCCGCGGACATCCAACAGCTCTGTGTAAGCCATTACATTGTTGGGCATAGCCACTGTTGGGCTCTTGCTATTATTACAGCGGATTTCAAGGAACCTTTTCGAGAAGTGCAATAAGTGCTCGACCATTGGCGGGTCGGTGAGCCGTGTGACGCGGGAAAGCATATACTCTCTAGCACATCTTTTTCGAGTGCCCTGTCTTCATGGTGACTGATTGGGGAAAAACGGCACCTCTTCCACCCGAACAAGCACCCAACAGCTCTTCCCGGGATTGGGCGGTTCAACAGTGAGCCAGTTTTCTCGAAAAAAAATCGCACAGCTAATTGATAAAGCGTCCGCGAGTGAATCCTGCATTGTTGTTAGCTCTGTTGTTTGCTTTGCTGTTTGTCATGTGAAAATGCTACATCGTGCAGCTAACCGATGAGTGGGTACCTACTGGTTGATGAGCTGGATTTTTTTCGGTGCTGAAGAACTATCAGCTATGTATACCTAAGTGTGCTCAGTCTGATCTGCAATACATATATTTTACAATGCATGTGCTTTTACTGCCAATTAACTTCATCGTTATACAGAAGTTCAGTCCCGTTCGAAAGCAAATTTCTAGGATACCAAGTGTATAAGTCGCTAGTGGTTAAGCTATGGAGTACATTGCTGCGTAGAAGATCTCAGCAGAACGGAACTGCTAGTTTCCGAGCTACCAATTAGGGTTGCGCGCGTGGCGCGTGCGCACGTGCAGCGGCACTTCGAGCTTGTGACGAGAATCAGAAACAGTTAGCTTTGCTCTTGGGGAGGCATAGACAAAATTCCAGCTTAATCGGACGGATACTTTCCAAGATATAAGCAAGGGGTGTGTACGTGCGCACGTGCAGCCGCACCTGATAATGCAGAAGTTCAGTCCAGTTGGGAAATAAGTTTCTAAGATCCGCAAATGTATAAGTCGCCAGTGGTTATGGAGTACATTGCTGCGTAGAAGATCTCAGCAAAACAAAACGGAACCGCTAGTTTCCGAGCCACGAATTGGGGTGCGCGCGTGGCGCGTGCGCACGTGCAGCGGCAATTCAAGCTTGCGATGAGTATCAGGAACGTTTAGCTTGGCTCTTAGGGAGGCAGATACAAAGTTTCAGCTAAATCGGGCGGCTAGTTTCCAAGATATGAACAAGGGGTGTGCACGTGCGCACGTGCAGTCGCACCCCTTGCTTGAGGTGTGAACCAGCAATGGTTGTTAGGCTGTTGCCGTATACAAAATTTGAGCGAAATCGGACGAGTAGTTTCTGAGATACAAAAAAGGGGTGTGCACGTGCGCACGTGCATCGGCACCTCAAAATTGGGACATGCGTTATTGGCAGGTGTGTAATACCTAGCTGTGTGCCAAATCTGGACTCATTCGGTCAAGCCGTTCCCGAGATACTGTCACGCCATTTTCACAAACATCTCTCACGCGCCACGTGCTGGTGCTCCCCCGTTACACCGCATCGGTGCGGCGGATGATCCCCATCATTTTCAATGAATGGGGCTATGCGGCGGTGAAAAAATGGATGTCGTAGGTGAACTGACTCTCGAGTTATAAGCATTTACTTTTAGGGCCGTTGTGGTCATGGCCGGATTTTCTGTGTCCAGTCCATGTATACAGAGGTCTATGTTCTAACATAACATAGGTGCCTACATATTTTTGGAACATAAGAAAGGTCGTGTGATTATACATATTTTCAAATTGTTATTTTTACTTGAATTAATGTCTGCCATTTCACTAGCCGCTAATATGCCCTTTGTAACATACAGGTGCTCCTCACGGCGATGTTTGTATCGGCCGTCTGTAAGAAGCTCGACGACGGCCATGACGATATTGATGACGACGAAAAGGACCCAGAGCTACAGCCGGATGAGGAGTGGATGCACGTGCCACGTGAGTCGTACTTTCGCGGGCGTTGATGTCGCTCGGGGAGATCGAAAAAAAACTTGATAAATAAACTTAAAAAAAGAGAAAAATAGTGTACAAAGTGGCAACCGAAACGAGTCAAAGCAGAGAGTAATCAAGGATAGGGACAGTGGGAAAAGAAAAGAAAGGAAACATAATGCCAGTTTGTCACTTCACCGCTTAATATTTCCACAGGTAAGAAGAACACCGACCGTAAGGTGAAGTACCAGCCGGTGGACCCGGCCAAGATCGAGGCCGCCAAGCGGGAGCGACAGAAGGAGATAAAAATGTGGGACATCCTGCAGGAAATGGCCGCCTACGCCTTCTTCCTGTGGGTGCTGCTCACCATCAGCTACGGCACGCGCGACCCCAACTGTTACCTGATCCGAGAGTCGCTGGAGAATCACTTCCTGCAGCCCAACGACTTCATGCTATCATTTAATGCGGTAAGTCTCCAGCATTAGTTGCTTTGCTAAATCGAATAATCAAAGTAAACATTTGCTTTATAACGTATGCTTGAGATAAGCTGGTACAGTTCGCGCTAATGCCTGGTGCATTATTGCTGCTTTTACAAGCAGGAGCTGTTGTAACTGGTAGGCAGACAACTGAACCAGTGACAACTGAACCAGGGACAACTGAACCAGTAAAACTGAACCAGGGACAACTGAACCAGTAAAACTGAACCAGGGACAACTGAACCAGTGACAACTGAGCCAGTGACAACTGAACCAGCGACAACTGAACCAGTGACAACTGAACCAGCGACAACTGAACCAGGGACAACTGAACCAGTGACAACTGAACCAGTGGACAACTGAACCAGTGGACAACTGAACCAGTGGACAACTGAACCAGTGACAACTGAACCAGTGACAACTGAGCCAGTGACAACTGAGCCAGTGACAACTGAACCAGTGACAACCGAACCAGTGACAACTGAACCAGTGACAACTGAACCAGTATGACAACTGAACCAGTGACAACTGAACCAGTGACAACTGAACCAGTGACAACTGAACCAGTATGGCAACTGAAACAGTGGACGACTGAACCAGCGGACAACTGAACCAGTGGACAACTAACGTCGTACTGCGCTGTATATAGGTATAAGGTAGCGCGTGGCTGGATGGACGGTCTGTGCCAATCTGCCGGTCTGCCAATTGATCTGTGTCCGATCTATTAGAGTGTCCGTCCGAGAGCCGTACGGCGGCTGACAGGGCTGACAGAGCCTGGTGGTCGCGAACTGGTGTGGTAACCGTTACGCCCACCTGGGACGCCCGAATAGTTAGCAACGTATAAATAATATTCACTTTGATGGCCTAACTCGGGACAGACAGGGCACGCAACGTGGGCTTGGCAGAGTTCAGCCCGCCTGGGCCCAGAGGAATCTCCGGTATATAAATGGATTCACTGCTCGGGCTTACATCGGACTTACGCCAAACGTCGCACAACTAGGGCTAAACAACGGCCGTCCTGAGCTCGCCGAGAGGCCCAGAGGGCATACCTCCGGCAGAGCATAGGCTTTAGTCGGCGTTTTTGTGTCCTTTAGCCCAAGCGCTAGCCGACTTTAGTCCAAGCGCTAGCCGACTTAAGCCCGACTAAAAATCTCGGGCAAGCCGCACTTCAGCCTGCTTGGGCCCGGAGTAAAATTGCTCGCTGGGCTACTGGTTAGTGGTTCAGTTGTCACTGGTTCAGTTGTCCACTGGTTCAGTTGTTACTGGTTCAGTTGTCACTGGTTCAGTTGTCCCTGGTTCAGTTGTCACTGGTTCAGTTGTCACTGGTTCAGTTGTCCCTGGTTCAGCTGTCACTGGTTCAGTTGTCCCTGGTTCAGTTGTCACTGGTTCAGTTGTCCTGGTTCAGTTGTCACTGGTTCAGTTGTCATGGAACCGTTGTAACTGAGCCTGACATGCAATTTACACACAATTGTGTCGTGCCATCGGAGAGTCTCAGGTGTGTTTTGTCCATCCATTCCAGGTTCGAAACACGAGCCGTTTCTGGAATTGGACTCGCTCGGTGATGGTTCCCCAGCTGAAAATCGACACAGACTACTCGGGACAAAAACCACGTGGCAAGGAGAAGAACCTCATCAGCGACAGAGTCCATCTGTTGCTAGGCAACGGGGTGATGCGACAGGTCCGCATCAGAGAGGAGAGTAAGTTACAAAGATGCGACCACCTCATTTCCGTGTTCCTCCCTCGCACATAGCAGCTAGGTGTCCGGAATGCCTTGTAAATGAAAAACCAAGCTTGTTTCATGAAATGATGTACTGCTTTGAAGGCATATGTTTCAAATTTAAGTGAAAATTCCATGGGTGCAGCGGCACCTGAGAAAAAAAAAATAACGGCCATCGAAAAGGTTTTCTATTTTCTGAAACATACCTGTATTGCGGCGGCTACTATTCGTGAACTGCTGCGTGTTTAGAACCACATTTGCAATGGAAAGTGCGTAGAAAAGTTTGACGAATGGTACTATAAAATCATCTTGTTTTTTAAATACAGTGCATGGCTCTGGAACCCTATCTTGACCATAATCCCGTGGCGTTTCAGACACATGCCGCGTACCTAAGGTGATGCGGAACCTCACCCGCGAGTGCCACAAGTTCAGCAACTTGTTATACGAGGAGAGCGGCGACTTTGGCCTGGGCTGGAACGCCTCTCTGGCCCACCGGCGACCGTTCAACCTGAAGGAGTACCGTCACAGGAGCGCCTCCAGCCTGGACTCGTACCCGTTCTGGGGAGACCTCGGCTGGTACGGCGGCGGAGGGTGAGTGACATTGGATCTCCGGGGTTCATGCGTATAGGTAGCATATTCGCGTTCATAGGTAAGCGTATATCTGATGGGCATATTCATGTACTGATATGCACCAGCTAAATAAGTGGCAAGAAACCATGTCCCCGCAGTGCCATGCGTCTCTTTTATCATAGATTGTAGCTATTAACCCGGCAGGCGGTGGGCCTACCAGCCACCTTCCACGCGGTGGGGGGGGGGGGCTCTTTTTTGCCCCCCCCCCCCCCGTATCTCCGAAACTACTGGACGGATCCGAAAAATTCAAACGGCGTTTGATAGCCCTGTCAAATTTGTCGAGGGAAACCAAATTTCATTGACCTCGGGGTCACCGATGACGTCACAGGTCAGGTCAAAGATAAAATGTTTCACCGTTCACAGGGCTTCTAGGGAAAGCGCTATAACACCGAGTAAAACGCATTTTGTCGAAAATCAGCGATAAGGCGTCAGTTGTCTAGTACATATGTTGCTATTAGAGGTCACTGGTCATACCAGGTCAGGTCACAGGTCAGGTCACCAAAGGTCACCAAGGGTCACCACATGAGCCCAACTTTACTAAGGTTATGTGATGCATGTTTTATGGCCAGTTTTTCATTTCCAACTCAATGGTGTTGGTTATAAGAGCATCAGGCACGGTTTAGGCCACTTTCTGGTGGAGGTCAGGTCAAGGTCAGGTCAAAAAAGGTCAAATTTCAAAGTTGATATTTTTGCACAAAATGGGTATCGATTCGATGCAGCTTGTCACGAGGAGTCTAATGGTGGTCTTTGTTTTGCGCTACGAGGTCTAGAATTGCCAAAAATTGAGTTTGAAAATTTGACGTCATCAATTTTGAACAGTTTTTTCGCTATAACTTGGCCAAAAAACGAGGTATCGATCTCAAATTTGGTATGTAGATAGAAGGCGGTAGGGACTATCACATATATTCCGGTTTTTTCGAAATTCGAAAAACTTTTTGGATTTTTTGGCTATTATATTCAAAAAATCTATTTTTTGATTTTTGGGGGTCAAAATTCGAAAAATTCGAAAAACCGAAATAGTAGTTTTGTAGCCCTTTTGATTCTACACCTTTTATGTCTAAAACATTTTTCTGTATCTCTAAAGCTGTAGGCTTGACAGCTCTTCCCGCGAAACCTTTTTTTGGGTCGAAAATGGCAAAAATGACGTCACTCTTTCGTCATTAGCGGCCAACCTATCATGGCCTTTGGAAAAATTTTTGGTCACCATGTGCGCTAGCTGCTCCCGGGAGGATACTGAAAGTTTGGTGACGATCGGCGCAGCGGTTCTCGAGATATATCGAAAAAAGTAAAGGGGGGGCAAAAAATTGCCCCCCCCCCCCCACCGCCTGGAAGGTTAAATATCGCTAATGTTCCTCAGGTTTCAATGTTTTAACATGCAACGAGCCATTGACAAAGCACCTTCTATTGCATATAAATATGGGCAAAATATTTTGTCACGCACACACAGCCTTGACAGAATTCTCGCTCTTCTGAGGACCAACGCGACTGTACTGTGTCCCCTCCCGTGTGTCTACAGCTACGTCGTGGAGCTGAAGGGCAGTCGAGCTCGTCTTATCAGCGAAATGTGGCGGCTCCAGGAACAGCAGTGGATTGACGAAAAGACCCGTGCCGTGTTCATCGAGTTCTCGCTGTTCAACGCCCAGGTCAACCTGTTCGTCGGCTGCACAATTGTCGCAGAGTTCGGACCGGATGGTGAGTGAGAAATGGTAGAGGTCATGTCTCAAGCATGGTACTTGTGGAACGCCCGTGGGAACTATTTCGGAGCAGTGCGACATTATGCAAGCATTATGCAAATATTTCTGCATGAAATAAGCGTCAGCTGCGTGCATATGACCTCAGGGTGGCTGATTCATATGAGTTTCGTTTGTTTGAAATGGTAAGCAGCATGAGCAGCGCTCGCGATGGACATTCTAGTAACGACTCTTCCCCGTGTCCTTTCAGGCGGAATAATCCCATTCTTCAAGTTCCAGCCGGTTCGTCTCCAAACTTATAACTCTGGCTTCGGACTGTTTGTACTCATTTGTGATGTGAGTACGTCGACGAAAACTGAAACCGTGGCACTTCATTGACGTTATTTTACCATTAAGCTAGAATGGTTGATGGTAATCACAGTAAATCTCATAGTATCGTTTAGGATGAGTTTGCTAATATTACATCAACTACCTTAGAACGAGTGGGCCTCGATACAATCCTCAAGAAAGCGAGGAACAAATTAAGAACATCAACACTGACCCACTGAATCAACTCTACATTAATTGAGATGCTATAAACTAGACGCGTGTTCAAACCCAAGGTAAAATTATGCGATACTCTGTCTACACCAAGGTGTACAAAACTGCCTATAAGATCACGATGAAACAAACTCCTCTTGCAGGTAACTTTTGTCATCTTCATTATTTACTACACCGTGCGAGAGGTCAAGAGAGCGAAGAAGCAAAAGGGTCAATATCTGAACGACCCTTGGAACTACCTTGAACTAACGGTCATCACTTTGGGGTACACCTCTGTTGTATTCTACCTCTATAGGTAAGGCGCGTCGTGAAACAGTCCTTCGTGAACTCATATCTGCCTGAAATCAACCCCTGCTCTTTTCGCTCCTACTCATTACCTCTATACCTTCGTCACTTTCATGATATTGATTACCCATCGCTACGTGACACATGCATTCGGCTAACGGCATTTATTGTGTCTATCGTTTGTGTCTATTGACTGTTGTTTATAGTGACTTTTTTTGTTTATAGTTGTTTAATTGTATCTAAGCCTTTCTTTAGTAATCTCCCTTGACGTTATGAGCCAAAGCATCAGAATTACGCAAACGTAGTTAGCTGAAAAACTAGACCGTCATGCATGCTTATAAACAACGGTGTTCTGATATGAGGGGCTCACCGTCGCGTTTCAGACTGTTTATGGCGAATCGAATCATGGACACATTCAAGGAAACTCGCGGAAGAGGCTACATTAAACTGCAATTCGTCAACTACCTAGACGAGGTAAGTTAAATAAGCGTGCTATTTGTGAATGAATGATCCTTATGATAAGTGACGTCCCACACAAGGCCGCAAACCCGAACGACAACTGATTGCCGATGCGATTTTTGCAGACCTTTGGATACATCATAGGTTTCTTGGTCTTCTTTGGCACACTGAAGTTCATCAAGCTTCTGAGGTTCAACAAGCGGATGGGCTTCCTCACTTCGACATTGAAACAGTGCGCTGGAGACCTAGTGGGATTCATTGTCGTCTTCGTAGTGGTAAGTTGGCGAAGCGTGCACAGATGAGGAATGAAATGGGCTCAGACATTATCAGGTCACGGTACAGTCATTACTATCTAGGAATGTTCTTCGTTTATGGTTTTACGCGGAATAGGCACTCTTACGTTCAATTTAGTACCCATTTGGAGACATTTTCGTCATTTTAAGAACACACTTTTTACTGCTTCAGCATAGTACATTTTAAGCAGTTTTCGAAGAATTTCAAGTTGACTGTGTTCTACAAAAGCGGAACTAAAAAGACGTAATTTAGTAGAGCTATAGTGTAATGATCATCATTTTATATAGTGTAACGACCATCATTTTCTACGTTTTCAGATTTTCGTGGCCTTCAGCAGCACCTTCTTCCTGCTGCTCGGATCGATGATGGCCGACTTCACAAACATTATCGCCAGCGTGGAGGCTTCATTCGCCATGATGCTGGGAAAGTTCGACTTCATGGGGATCTCGGCAGCCAACCGGGTCCTGGGTCCACTCATGCTCTTCACCTTCACAATCTCTATGACGTGTATCTTCATCAATATCTTCCTGACGGTCATCATTAAAAGCTTCCAGGAGGTGAGTTTCCAGGAGGTTTGGATACATTTTTCTTGCGCTACTGTAGATTAATCCTGCTAAAGTCTATCATTCTGTGCGAAAATGAGTTTTGTGACTGACGCTATATGCCGTTTGTTTCAGGTAAAACTGGATCTGATGAAGCAGGGTAACGAGTACGAGGTGATCGAATTCCTGGTGAACCGCATGAAGCTGATGACCGGTATCGGAAAACCAAAACTGAACAACGTCGGGCCCCTGGCGCCTACTTCGACAGATGAATCGGTAAGCAAGAGTCTGTGAATAAACACGCATCAACTGGGTCCAACAATGAATCATTTTTACGATAACAGTTAATTTGAAATGACTCCAGGGCCCAGTTTCACCAAGTGGGGTAATTTCGGCATGGGGTAGATTTCCATTCTGCCCCATGGGGTAAAATCCAGTTTCACCAGCTCAAACTACCCCCATGGGGTAGTTTCGGCATCTCTTGTGAATGTTTGCTAAGCAAGCAGCATCAGCAAAACAACGGAACGTTTTGATTGGTCGAGAATTTCATTTCACGACGGCGTGAAATGAAGAACACATTTGATTTGGCTTCTTGTATTTGTCTACCAATCACCTTGGTAACGATGGCACCATGGCACCTCAGTTTCCAAGATTCACAACTTTATTGAGAAAGGAATGCAATGCACAACCGCGAATCTTGATGGATGGATATGATGGATGATGGATGGATACAGAACAAAAGGCATGTTTTATTATCGAATAGTATCAAATGTTTCAAAATTAATTAGTGTTTTAGTAAATTAGATGTTCAGATGAGATGTTTTAGATTACATTAGATGTTAAATTAGATTAGATGTTAAGTGTTTTATAATAAGAATATTTTAGTAAATTAGTGCATGTTTTAGTATCGATTGCTTGGTATTTTTGACGACTTTTAACTACAAATCTTTTGCACCAGATGCTTTTTATTTCTAATGTGCATTACAAAATACATACGGTACAGATGCACGGCACGGCCCTCGCCCGTATAGGGGGGGGGGGGTCGAACGGACCCCCCCCCCATGGTTTTTCGCAAATAACTCGCGTAAAAAGCGGCCGATCGCGACGAAACTTTCAGTACCCTCGCGTTCATCAATTTTACACCTACCCTAAAATTTTCATGACCCTGACCCAAATGACCTTTGACCTGTGACCTACTTTTCGAGACCATGTTTGGCCGGAATCGCGATTCGGCGTATGTCGGCTCGCATTAGCCGCGCGTTTGCAGTCTTTTCGTGGTTTCAAGCGTTCAAACATGTGATATGATGTTGCCCCCATGCATTAGGGTGGGTGTCAAGGTCACCTGAAGGTCAGGTCAGGTCATTGACCTTTGATGACCTCGGTTCACTTTTTCGAGTTTTACATGTTTCTAGACCAGTTTTTGGAGCTGAGTTCGAATTTAGCAACCATATGAACATTTACGAAGTAGTTTTGGTGCCTTCGTAACATGTTACGAAGCTGTTAGAGGCGGTTGCCACCTACTACGAATACCCTTACTGGTTGACCTGACCTGACCTGACCCGACCTGGCCTAAATGCATGAAGACATCATCTGTGATCAAAACTAACATGATATTCGTGATCAGCACCCCAAAAAAACCCATAACAGCCACACTTCACGACGTTCTAACAGGTCCCGATTTTCCCGACTTTTGGGTCATTGACCTGACCTGCAAGGTCAACCAATGACCTAGGACCTTAAAATTGGGCATCATCGGCTTCCTCTCGTCACGAGCAACACGCTCGTTTTTTCCGCGAAGCTCTAGCTCGATCAGGGGCGAAACGGCAAGGGGAGGGTCCAACGGACCCCCCCCCCCCCTTATACGTTCGCGGCTGGAAAAACACCAATACGGGCGAGGGTTAACGCAACTTTATTGAGATATGCACAACAAAGACAAAAATGAAAAACAGATATGGAAAGTATCGAATCCACTTGGCCTGATATTTTCAACAACGGCTTATTACGAATTACTTGCACCATATGCTTTTTATTTCTAATGAGAATTACCTAGGTATGCACGACACATCCTCTTGCTGATTTAGGTACGGCATTTTTATCTTGAGTTCAGTTGTTAGCGTCTTGACATTTGTTGGATATTTGGACATTGACCGTAAGGCATATTATATGTAGGTAGTAGGTACCTCAAATGATAATTCGAATAGATCACACAAGTTGAAGTACTATGAATCTATGATCATTTCAACAAGGCACAGCGTCAGCATGTAACCACCGTGAAGAATGTGCGTTTTTATTGTTTATATTTCAAGGCTTCCTCATCCGGTATTCAAGGTCACTGTTGAAGGAAACCCTTTAATAGCTAAAAAAGTAAAATTCCCGGCATTCAGCTATGGGCGACATCTATAATACTTGTTTTCGTCTTGCAGATCACAAGAATAGGTGGCGCAGGCTACATGCAGTAAAATACTTGGATGAAACTTGAAGTATGTTATGAATAATGCATACTCAAACTTGACAGGTGATTGGTCTTCAATAAATGATGTTCTGATTATTGTTTTACTGTCAATTCTTGCTCACAATTGGTATTATATTCACAAATTACCCCACGAATGTCTGCCGTAATTTCGGTCGGATATTTGGGGTAGAACCGACGACAGCCAGCTGATTGATTGGCTTGTTCAGTTGCTCACGGACCGTGAGCATCTGTTTGCATGGCAAATTTGGGGTAAAATAAGAACTGCCCCATGGGGTAGTTTGGAAGTGTCCAATCAGAACCTACCCCATTTGGTGAAACTGGTTTGGGGTAGTTTCGCCGAAACTACCCCAAACAGAGCTTGGTGAAACTGGGCCCTGCACTCCATAGACGATTTTCATGTTTTCTTTTACCAAATCACGTTCAGATATTGCCATCACTTGGATTTCCATAATGTGCTAAAGATCCTGATTCATCCGCCGCTACAGAAAAAGGATCCGTCCAACCAGTTTCCCGAAAAGGTTGACCAGCTGCTGAACCACGTCAACGATTTCTACTTTGAAGGGAAGATGGACCTCAACAATAAGTCGTGGCTGAAGAAAACTATCAAAGTGAGTGGGAACAAGGACGCGTGGATGACAGCTTCACGTCGTCAAATGGTTTGTCACTCGCCAGACTTTCGAACAGTCTCGATAAAAAAGGCCTATAAATATGTGTCGATTGATCACGTCCCCTGGTCATCGACATACAATTCAAATATTGACTTTTGAAAACCCTTCACAGATGGAGAAACAAGGTGCCAGCGAATGAATTCGGCAATGAGGCTCAACAAGTGAGGAGCGTCGGCACTCGGCCTACAACAGAATATGACCGGAGATCGATAACACGGAAAAGGAACTGAGAAACACGCATGACTAGGCTCGACTCGGTGAAAGCGGACAACGTGTGTATTTGTGTCTTTTGTTTAGCATCATACCATGTAATCGATACAAGTCAGATGCATAGAATTCGCGTGTAGTTGGAATCTAATTCTACATAAATATGTTTCCAGCGCTTTTGTTTGGTATTACCATATACGTAAACTGAAATGCTTATTAGGACGCTTTACGAAAAAATAATGTTTACATTTAAAGACGCTTATTTGGAATGTGCAGCTTACGTGTAACCATTAAGTGCCGTTAAAACAATGCAGAAAAAGAGCACCGTGAACCACATTTGCACATGAGGTCGAGGATTGACAACTGGTAAAACCAGGCACCATGGAATAAGTATTTTACAATTTGTGTTTGTTCAAATACATGTTGTTTTTGGCTGTTGCTTTTACATCTGTCATAAACTGTATCGCGCTAAAAGGAAGGATTGTTGCAGCATGCATCACCGGTTCATGATTTGAAAAACGTTAAAAATGGATAATTTTAAAATAGAGCTGGTACTTTATTGCTCGTTTGAAGTAGTCCAACGAGTTGACTTTTTAGTAAAACGGACGCATTTTTGTATTCACGCTGCTTTTAAAAGTATAAAAAAACTAAACTTCGCTCAGAAAATAATTTAGCAAGTGATCGCAACTCCATCTGGGAAAATAGATAAAGTCTCTCATTTTCTCCGTCGCCAAACGGATCTGTTACTCCCCTACACAATTGACTCGGGCGAAGTCTGTGGCATCTGGCCGCCACAGGAAGATAGAGCTACGGCAGGAAACAACATCCAAACCGTGCTGGACAGATTGTCTTGGTTATTCATATCGAATCAGCCTAATACGAGTGGTAGGAAACGAGCGTAAAATGGCAGAAAGCATGACTTGATTTTAAAGCTCGGCAATGTCGATCCGATTCCGGCCAGAACTATTGACTGACCGACTCCGACTCCGCGGTCCTGAGCATAAATGCTTAAATCAACTACCGTGCAAACACTATAATCTAGCATCATACCTACGAACCTACATACCTAGCATCAAAAATGCTACAGCTTAGTTTCAAATAGCATTTTCATTTAATTGCCGATATTTCCACAAATTTAACACAATTGCCACACCCACCCCACACCCCATTTTCCGGCCCGAAAATCTAGTCCACACTGTACCGATCTGAGGGTGTCCTGTTTGAAGTCGGGAGAAGAGAGGGAACTGCCTCTCTGGTCCCCTCCCCCTCCCCGTTGCGACGTGGCCGGCCGCACGGGACGCTCTTGGCTCTGTGTGTCTGGCGCCTGAAGCATACTGTGTCGCACGACACGTAGTTTCTAAAAACTCTCCATAGATGGCTTTGTATGCCTGGCGCCTGTAGCATACTGTACCGCACGACACGTAGTTGCTGAAAACTCTCCATAGATGGCTTTGTATGCCTGGCGCCTGTAGCATACTGTGCCGCACGACACGTAGTTGCTGAAAACTCCCCATAGATGGCTCTGTGAGCCTGGCGCCTGTAGCATACTGTGCCGCACGACACGTAGTTGCTGAAAACTCCATAGATGGCTCTGTGAGTCTGGCGCCTGCAGCATACTGTGCCGCACGACTCGTAGTTACTGAAAACTCTCCATAGATGGCTCTGTGGGTCTGGCGCCTGAAACATACTGTGCCGCACGACCCGTAGTTGCTGAAATCCCTCCATAGATGGCTCTGTGAGTCTGGCGCCTGCAGCATACTGTGCCGCACGACACGCATTACGCCGCTCCGCACGGCCTACGTCTAAACAGATGGTTCTCAGTGGACAAAGCTTGAAGAATTCGGCGCTGCAAGGATAAGAAGTACAATGTAAAACTATATATATTTTCGTGTATGTCATGACCATCGAGATGACAATAAAATATTGATGTTGGCAAGTAATTCTATCCCAGCAACCTGCCAATACCATGAAGCATCTTGCTTGGAACATGCATATACCACTCGGTCCATCATTATCTATTTTCTATTAGCAATTGAAGTGACCAAACATACCTAGGTACCTATTCCAGTTATATAACTTCGCGCAAAATGGAATAGCCGACATGTATATCAATGGTAAAGCCAGTGATCGCTTCGACACCGAGCACACAATGAAAAAAAAAACATCACAACGCCTGTCTCTCTTCACCAAAGTTTGATCGTCACATGATCACAACAGCTGGGTTATCTGGATCTGATGATCAGCCAGATGACCAGGAAGACGAACAGCGAGAAGAGGAACAGGTAGAAGAGGTACCGGTTGTGCCCCGAGCGAGCCATCCTCATCACTCGTTTCATCGAATTTCCCAGCAGGCCGCCCGTCGAGTCGAATTCGTCGTCCTGAAAATACAGTAGAATCCGCTTAATAAATCCACATTGGTGACACGGCGCTTTGGATTTATCAAGCGGTGGCTTTCTTAACCGGGGTCACTTATGCTTCTATAAACAAATCCGTGTACAGCTGAATTGGCCACAATAAACGGCTGGATTTATTATCCGAGGATTTATTAACCGGATTCTACTGTATCGCGTGCGAATTACTGAAACGAAATAAACACACCGAGACCATCGTCGAGACTTGCCAAATTTAACGGACATTTTCAACTGCTCCGTGGCTTCACCGATCCTTGGGACGCGCACGGAAAGTCTAAGCCAGCCTAGATATAGACGGGAAGGCGGATACCTGTCCGGCGTCCGCAAGAAATATCGAATAGGTATTGAGCAAGGTGTTGAGAAGCGGCAAACCGCATTAGAGAGCACGCAGTCACTTCTTTCGTGGATACTGAACCATGTTTTGCCAAGGTGAGGAGAAAAGTATGAAAGCCAAAATAACACCAAAGGTAAAAACTGTGCGCGTTTCCGACTAAGGCTGGCAATATCCTACAAACAACACCGAGCTCGTTAACTATGAAGAGTGAGAGCTAGGAGGAGGTGAAAAAATTTAACAAATAGCTCAAGGAAAGAATTTCTCTTACATACCGAAGGATTGGACCACAGGGTAGTCGTAAAACCACGAGACTTGATAAGGAGCGTTGGTTTTTGAAGATGTCTCACTACATTTCTTTTTCGTTTTGTATCCGCAAAAATAACTTTTTTGCAGCAATCGCATTCCTCTAAAAGATATGCATCGAATGCCAGGTATATCCAAAGACATTTAAAGGGATTATCAGGGTTTGAAAAACTGAAAGTGATCAATTGTTTTCCTATTGTTGGATTCCTCAGGTTCTGCTGACTCTAATCATATGCATACGAACTATATGAGTGCTTGATTGTACCAGTTACAAGCATTTTTATTGCCACTCTTGCCTGATTTGTAGTATAGTGATAATACAAATAAATAATGCTTACTCAGCAGTGCAGCTAGTGGCCTCTGACTCAGCTATTTCCAAACGTGGCCCATTTGAGACAAAAGATAGGGTTTGAATTTGTGAACATTTACGACATATTTTGAACAATGTATTGTACAAAGAGTTATTGCTATCTTTCGCCTATTTCATTTTCATGCATCATCATTTCAAATAAGCCTTACCTAGCACGATCTCGTTGAACAACGAAGAAGCGGCGCCCAGGTCGGTTGGCCGTGGATCCATGGCCGTGGTTTATCCACATCCAAAAACTGTACACTCACGATTTTGTTGTCCACGGATTGGCGCCACGCAGGTCTTTACCCAAATTACCTTCAAGCAAGCAATAATACGCTAAACTAACGATTTATTCGAGGATTCGAATCAAGATTAACGGCCACGCGATCTGGGCACGGGTAACGGGCTGACTGCCGTTACGTGCTGCAACCTTTTTTTAAAAGAGAGACAAAGTCTCGATTTTGTTCGATATCTAATGTTGAAGGATCATTGTCCCATAAGGCTGGCATAGCGCCGCTTAGCCTGGCATCGTCAATGTCTCGAGAAACTATCTGGCTTGTGTTAGGCCCATGGGTTCATGGATAAATTATTCAAGCGCCCTAATCTCGTCGCTAGGAGCTATTGGATGGCAGACAGACGAGCTTTGGAGGGCTATCATTTGAAATTAAGGCAATTCTGGGATGGATGGTTTTGGATTGGGGTATCAGCCACTCACTCTCTTCTACATTCAGGTTACACTCAACAACTTCGAAATTTTGGGAAAAACCCTGATAATACCTTAAGGTCATTACTACTACCTACTACATTTTGCTGCTCATCGCCCAATGCGTCAAGATGAGCTGGGCACCATGACATCATGACATCACTTTCAAGCCTGTATATTGTTTGGATAAAAATCCGCCACGCCATGTGTGGGTCGCCCACGATCGTAAATACATACAATGGGAAAAGCCCAGTAAAAAGTAAAATATCTTTCAATGCCTTACAATGAGCAAGTCGGGATAAATGAATGAATTGAGCCACTACCTGAGCAATGCATCAATCCATTTGATTATGAATGGATTGTGTTTTAGCTATGATTTTGCGTTGTGAACGCACATCGAAACAAAAGACTCGTCAAAATAACCCTTGCTCCGGAGAATACGCATCGTCCACAGTTCCACACGGATTCGAATTCCCCACTTGCTCGATATTTACCTTTATTTACATCTACGGGCTAACATGAAAGATATAAGTTTGCCAAAGGCCGCATTGTTAATCGGTTTTCCTCTCGAGGCAAAAATAAATTCATTTATCGTTTGTCTGTTGGGATTTAGGGAAACTCAAACGTCAAACGGCAGGATCACTAAGCGCTCATGCAAAAACAATCCAGAAAGGTGCGACCACAACTTACCATTTCGTTGAGCATCTTATTTTGATACCGAACTTCATGCCCAATATCAATCGTGAGCTGAAAAATAGCGACAAGTACGTTAGGTGGACACCGGGATAAAAATAAAGCATTTGTCCCTCACATCGACAAGTCATTCATTTCATTATCTGCTAAAGATTCTTTTTTATCCCTGGCGACAAAGGGAAGCAGACACTAAACATTTGGCATCGTCAAAATGTATCCCGTGATAACTTTTTGACGTACGACCACTTGAGATTAGGTCACTTGGTAAGTTATGTAACAATGTTTGCGATTGTGTCAACCCTACACTTGTTTTCTTAGTTTCAGATTTACAACATTCATAAGGTGACTAGTTAATTCATGAATTTCGAATTTGTTAACCAGCCACCTGAGGTTAGGTAACTGATCAATAACCACGCCACCACAAAACATGTAAAAAGGTGTACGTAGCTCTTGCTTTGAGCATAAGTGCAATAACTACATTTTTTCAGAATCATGACACATGAACATTATGACATCTCTCTCCATTGGCAATCACCACTGATCAGACCATATGAAGTCATCCACCATTTTTGCAGCAACTCTGATGGAACATAAGCAGAACACCGCAGATGGCGTCGAAAAGTTAGTCTCACTGAGACGCATCAAATTATAGTTAAACGTTGACAGCTGTTGATCGGATCGTAGTTTTATCTAACTTTTAGGTAAACGGAAGGTCTTTTTGACCTCTCATTCCTTCCACAAGATGAAGGTAGCTGAGATATGGGCCAGGGACTGAGTTGGGAAACGTGTGTAGTGTGTACCTTCTTACGCTGACCGAGACAGGCAAGTGTCATGGTGTGTGTGTTCACAATATGATGCGTCACTAGCATTATATTACTTTACGCCCTGGAATCTTGCAACTTACAGACTTGAGAGCAGACACCTTCCCTTTGAGTTCACTCTCCAGAAGGTCGTTTTCCTCTTCTACTGCCGCGCCACCACGGAGTGGCTGGTCCGCTGAATCAGAACAGCGTGGAAAAGAGTTGTGATCGAACGCACAAAGATCGAAAGGGATCAAAATATCATAACATTACTGTCTAGAAGGCAGAAGACGACGATGATTGCTATTTTTGAGATTACCAAACGACTGGCACATGCACTGGCAAGAAAACATTACTAAAACATTTCCAAAGGATCCTGGAAAAATAAGAAAGTTTTTTCTCCAATTGAAATCCCCTGCTTCTAGCATGTAACATTTCAGGACCTTGACAATTAGGTATATAGGCATATTACGAGCATTTTTTTTTTTCTAACTACACCGCCACCCATTAATAGGTGACCAGGAGTGCCCCCTCCCTCAGCCCAGCGACTCACAGAACCTTACTTTACCACCAGAGAAAACATAAAAATGGCAAAGTCGCGGCACTCCCTGCTAAGAAACGGAATTTGTATTTGTATTTGTATTTGTATTTGTATTTGTATTTGTACGGAAAACAACTCAAAATAAGCAACTAGTCGGTAAGAGGAAGTATGGTTAGTTAGAAGAAAAAAAAACGGCAAAAGATGTCCCCGCTGAAAGCAGCGGGAGACTAAATCACTACTTACAATACCATGTTTTATGATGTAAAAGAACACTCATTCAGGGTTAGTAAAGGGACACATACATACACACAAAGCACAGGTTCTGGTCAGTATTCTGCAAAAGGTCATGTGTGACCGGATGAACCCTTCCAGCTAAGCAGAGCTTGTTGCTGGTCGGGGTCACCGGTCACAACGCCGTAAGGGTGGGTTCGGTGTAAGCCACAGTCACTGTGGCTGACAGGCTACGCTATACGAGTAGGTGTTTGGAGGAGTTGAATAAAAAACTACAACGTGATACAAAGCATGCATATTATTCTATTTGAAAGTACCTTATTTATTTGCATATTTTACTATTGATTATTGAACTTATGTAAACAAAAGCTACACAGGGTGTTCTAGGAAATACTCCTTACTTATTTTCTTTACTTGCAATTTAGACATGTTGATAATGCATTGAGCGTTAAATTGAGTTGCCATAATTTTATTCCAGATGCGAGGCCCAAGCCATGTTACATTACGAGTGCAGTATAATCTTTTTATAAATGGTTCAATGAACTGTTGACGATTTCTGGTCCTTGAATCGCTAGGGTCACTAAGGGTAAATAATCCACCAACAGATGATGGGAGAGAAAAAGAAAGTTTTCTGTGCATTAAGATAATAGCCTGCTGTTTTGCTATATTATGAACTTTGAGAAGCTTAAGGCTTTTGAAAATTTCCTCTGTGTGTGCTAAACGATGTTGATGAGTAATAATACGAATGGCTCGCTTCTGAAGCAACTCAATTTTGTTTAAGTAAGAAGGAAATGTGAATCCCCATACCACACAACAATAATTGATATATGGTAAGACCAGTGAATTGTACAAAAGAGTTAGCAAATGATTATCAAGGAAAAATTTTGCTCTGCTCATTACCCCAATGTTACGACTGATAACTGTTGTTAAGTGGTCAATATGGAGATTCCATTTAAGGTTCGGATCTATAATCATTCCTAAGTACTTGACTGATTGAACAGCCTCAATAGGATCACCATATAATGTTACATTAAGTTCTGCTGGATTGAGTGTATTATTGTAGATTTGATACACTGTTTTCTTTGTGTTGAGGCTAAGTTTATTTGCTTGCAACCACGTGCATATAATGGGCAATTCAACGTCAATCATATTTTGAAGCTGGAACGCTGTTCCACCTTCAAAAATGAAGACTGTATCATCTGCATACAGTAAACATTGTGCTGTTTTACAAATATTTGGAAGATCATTTACATAAAGTAAGAAAAGCAAAGGACCAAGAATGGAGCCCTGGGGTACACCAATGTTTACATTTTCTATTGAAGATCTTGCACTGTTATATTCTACGCATTGTTTTCTATTAGTAAGGTAAGATTCTATCAGGCTAAGTGCTTGCTCAACAATGCCATATTTGCTACATTTTCTTATTAGTATGTCATGATCTACAGTATCAAATGCTTTTTTTAAATCGATGTACAGAGCTATGGCAATGTTGCCTTTTTCAAATACTTTCATTATTGTATCCTGCAGGAGAAGTATGGGCATATACTCGTATGTTGAAAGTGACTTTTGAAAGCCAAATTGGCTAGCAGACAATATATTATGTTGCAGGAGATATTCCATGAGTCTTTTGTGAATTATCTTTTCAACAAGTTTTGAGATATAAGGCAAAATACTTATTGGTCTATAGTTACACATGCTGCTTTTGTTGCCAGCTTTGTAAATAGGTTTGACAACTGCAATTTTCATGTTTTCTGGGAAGATACCTTTTTCCAAGCAGAGATTAACCAAGTGCACAAGTTCAGGTATTATTGTAGAGTAGGTAGACTTGAATATCTTTGCATTTATACCATCTATACCTGAGCCAACATTTTTCATGGCTTTGATGATCGAGTTTAGCTCAGCTGAATTAGTAGGCTCAAATTTGGATATATGCTCAGCATGATCACTTATTATATAACTTAAAGGGTCAGTGTTGCTTGGAGGAATTTCATTTTTCAGTTTTTCACATATTGAAATGAAATATTTGTTAAATGAAGCAGCTATGTCATTTTCATCATCCAGTTGTGTACCATTTTCATTGACAAAGCTACTGGGCAAGGACTGCCTGCTGCATCCTCCCATGGCACATTTTTTCAGAAGCTCCCACATTTTCTTGGAGTTAGATTTATTTTCTTGAAATTGATTTTGGAAATAATTTTTCTTTGCTACTTTTATGATAATGTTAAGGCAGTTCCTATGCCTATTGTAGGCAAGCTTATTCTCTGTGGTAAGCTAAGCTTATCAATAAGCATAAGCTAACTACTTGCACTTATCAGTGGTTAGCTTAATGTTTCACATTCTTACCTGGAAAGTTTGGCCGCCTCATGATGATTATTTGTACACCTGAAAATACACCTGAAAATGAAAGTAACACAAATGTGAGTGATAACGTTTTGAAATTGTCTCAATTGACAGCAAAGGCATCAACCTTCCAAGCTGAGACTAGGTTGTTCCATGTGACTACACCAGTTCATGTTGTGGGTTCCGCTTTATCAACATTCACATAAGGGTGCAGACTGAAGAGTGTTACAAATTTAGCTGGCATTTGTCAACCCACTAAGACCTCAGTAAGTGACTAGTGAACCATGTATGTACACAAGGACAATGCAAAGACCTAACTGTATTGTGCAGGCAAGGCATGTGAATGAGCAATCCATAGCCATGTACAAAATTTCAGCACAGTCGGTCCAACCCTTCTTGAGATGTGGTAGTGGCCCTGCCATGGGGCCTGAACAGTTGCTACCCTTCCCAACTGTGACAAATGGAAATGCATCAGCCATTGTACAGATAGGTACTTTGCGGTCTGAAGACTGCGAAGTATCTGTTACAATGGTTATATGGTTATCTTGCCAAGATCTTGCCGGTGCTCAGGCAGTCCACTGATGCAGGGCTGTGCCGATTTATCATGGTGTGACTGTGGTGCAGAATTGGCATGGAGCTAAGCGGGCCCTTAGGCTGTGCTGAACAGTTGTGTTGGCAGTTGGCACACATAATCTAAAAAATGATGCACTGCAGTGCTCACTGGAGACTTTCCCCGCATTCGATGTCTCTCGGACGACAAAGATTCTATGTCGTCCGGCCAATGACATTCCATAACAGCAGCCGAAGCCCCCACTGACCTTGAACGGGATTGGCCAGTGTAGAATCTTTGTCGACCTAAAGACATCGAACGTCAGCTTATAAAAGTATATTTAAAAACATGTTAAGCGGCAAGGCAGCGGCAATGCCATGTGCATTGTTCAGGAATTGAACTGGTAAATGTCAAGTTTAAGTCCTAAGAAGATTTCATTGATAAATTTTTCATATTTTTACATTATTTGACATCCTGAATCCAAAAATGATACTCATATGTCTCGCAAATAAAAGAAAAAAACATAATCAAACCTGACCTAACCTTACCTACTTACCTACAACCTACCAACCTACAACCTACAAACCTACCCTAACCTAATCTAACCTACAAACCTACCTACCTACAACCTAAAACCTACAAACCTACAACCTAACCTAACCTAAAACCTAAAATTTTTGCTGTTTCATATTCGTATCAACAGCGTCACAATTGTAGTTAGGACCTAGACATGACATATACCATTGAACCTGGATGGCTGAATTGTATTTAGGGCCTTGGCTGAATCAAGACCTTACCCCTAGACCAGAAATGTGCTTCCCAATTTCAGCGGGTGCTGGGGAACCCCCAAAAACCTTATTCCCTAGCCCTGGGTCTAACCTTAATAAAGTTCAATTGATGTAAGAAGTAACCAACCACCACGCCATGGTACTCACCGATCGGAAGAAATTACAGCAAATTTTGAGTCTCGATCTCGACCTACCTATTGCAAACAAAAGTACACGGCATGCCCTCGAAAACGCTTGAAAACGGACTTGACGGTGTTCTGGTTTCCAGGTGCGTGCTGCTTAGAATGCGCAAACAATTCTAAACAGCAGTGAGCAATAGCAGTATCAGCAGCATAATGTCACTAAATCCAGCAGGTGAACAGCGACGTGTCAATATTTTGAAACTACTGCGCAGGATATGGCTAAATCTTAGCCAGTTCGTCAGCTGATTATATGGAAGCACTTTTGATATTCGCCTAGACTGCAAAATGATGTTATGCCTAGCTCAAGGCCTAGCCCAGGGCCTGGCCCAGGACTACAGTAGAATCCGGTTAATAAATCCCCGGATAATAAATTCAGCCGCTTATTGTGGCCACTTCAGCTGTTCACGGATTTCTCCATAGAAACATAACTGACCCCGGTTAATAAAGCCACCGCTGAATAAATCTAAAACGCTGTGTCACCAATGTGGACTTAGCACTGTGAGGACTTGCGGATTCTATGTATTGTATGTCTACTTCTAGCATAGACGGCGGAACGGGGAGGGCACCGGGGCACCGTGCCCCCTTTGATTTTGGCATTTTAACATTGGCCCAATGGGCGTTGCATGGAAAGAATGGGACTAAAAGTCGGCAGTGCCCCCCTTTAATTGAAGGTGTTCCGCCGCTACTGATGTCTAGCCTAGCCCAGCGTGTTTCCTACCTAACGGGTGGTGCCAACTGCCAACAGCTGATGGCTGGATTTCTGCACCCATGCACAGCGGCGTATTTAGAAAATCGCGAAGTGGGGGGGGGGGGGGCAAGGGTTTGGAGGGCGCCACCTCACCCAAGGAGGGCGCCATATGGTCGGGAGATTAAATTTCTTAACGATTGCTCAGCGGACGGGGGGAGGCTTTTTTACTACGCCACCAGTTTTTGCGTGCCTTGGTAGGTATAGGTTATGCTGCATTGATTTCGCATCGTGTGTATTTTGTTTTTGCTCCAGGTCACAAAAGGTCAAGTCACCCGCTCAGCTTAAGTGACTATGCATAAAAGTTTTTTTAAAGTTAGGTCACTCGACATTGTCTGGTGACCTGGCTTTTAGCGACTAGGGGACAAGGGCGGATCCAGGATCAGCTGAAAGGAGGGGCCAAATCGGCCCATTGAGTAGGTTTTTCGCTAGGATAGGGCCCGCAGAACCTAATCTACCCCCAAATCCTATTCTATCCCCGGATTTCGGCCACTTTATTTTGTAAAGCTGACAAAATAAATTTCTTTAAAAAAATCACGTATCACTGACCATCAAGGCCGGGGGAAGGGGGAGGGAGGACCAACCTGGCTGCGCCCGTGCAAACAGTAAACACCAATCTGTGACATCATCCTAGGCTCTGCCCAACCGAACATCAAGTAGCGCCTTTTTTAACCCACGCCGGGGCTGGGCACTGGCGGTCGCAGCCGCTAGCAAAAGGGGGGGGGGGGCCAAAGTCACACTCGCGGGACATAACATTTATCCGTCACCGGGGGGGGGGGGGGAGGGGGGTGTGATCGGCTAATTTTTTACGTCCAAGAGGCGCCGAAAAAGTTGGCATTACTTATGCTTCATCCACCTCATTCTTGCGTGAAATCTTTAAGCTCAATTTAACCCGCGCGGGGCTGGGGGGGTAAATTTTACCCCCCTCGCGAATTTTTGCGATATCTTAAAAAACGGCGGCGCGCAGCGCCGCCAAACTTTCAGTACCTTTTCTTACATCAATTTGACACGTTCCCTGAAAATTTGAGCGAAATCCGTCGGAAAATTTTTGAGAAATTGACGTTTTAGTGACGTCATGCTCGCCATTGTCGCCTCAAAAACGGCAAAAGTTCAAACGCCGCTAACATCTTCATTTTTAAAGGAATCAAGACGTAACAAAAAAGAATATACGTAATTTTATTTTGTCTATCAAATGGCTATCTCGGTTTTTTGAAAATTTTGGATTTTGGCCTAAATTTTTTCAAAAGACTGACTTTTTTGGGAAAATGATTATAAAATCCAAAATTTTGAGTCTATCAAAAAAAACGGAATATATGTCAGAGAAGTGGTCTATGTGCACCTACATACCAAATTTTAGAAGAATCGGTTCAAAAATGTGGGAGTTATTCAAAATTTTATGACGTCACGACACACAAATTTTTTGAAAAATGACTTTTTTGGAAGTTCTAGACCTCGTACGGAAACAAGAATAGCACCATTCGATTCGCCGTGAAAAACTGCATCAGATAGACACCTTTTTAGGCCTTAACAACCAACTTCAAAATTTGACCTCACTTGACCTGACCTTGACCTGACCTCGACCTGAAATTCATCCAGAGGTGGTCCATATCACTTATTGAGTGTGCCTATTGAATTCTATGAGTAAAATGACCCATAAAACATGTGTGGCACATGCCCTATTCTATATTTTGTTTTTTGGTGACATGACCTGACCTGACCTGACCTTGACCTTGACCTCTGAATGATATTGTATGCAACGAATATTGTCTTGGTAGCCTAAGAACACGTTTTGGGCGATCAGTCTCAGTCCATGACTCCATTCTTCGGCAACTACGGTGCAAGGCCGATACTGTAGAAACTTGCAATTTGTACCCTTGACCTGACCTTGACCTTGACCTCAAACTTTAAATTAAGTACATGTTTTTAGTTGTTCGTGATGAGAGCTTTCGATTGGCGTTTGAATTTTCCAAATCGGACCATTAGTTCGGGAGATAACAGGGAAGGGGGGGGGGGGGTAAAATTTACCCCCCCCCCCCCAGCCCCGCGCGTTCGGCTGGAGACCCCAGCCCCGCGCGGGTTAAGGCAAAATCACCAGTTCCATTTCCCGTCCCACGGTGTTTCCACCGGTCGGGCCACTGCACCATGGCGCCGGATCGGTGTAGCATATACTGGAAGGTCGGGCACGCGGATTCATGACCTTACCACTATAAAACAATTCGGAAAAGTACAGATACCTCTTGCTTTGAACAAGCATGTGAAACCCAGAGAGCATTTTCAAACCATGACATTTACCCATATAGTTGTGTGGCGGCGGGAGAAAGTAGGTACACCGACCTCTGGAGACCCCCGGCCCCACAGGTTCCTGGTTTTCAAAATTGGCATCTGAAGGCCGCGCGCGACTCGTGCGGGGCTTCGCAACGGCTCTATTGGGGCTCACTCAACCTGTCTTATAGTCCTACTGCTAAAAAGACTGGCCCTGAGCCCTAAGGACTTCATCAGTCTCTGCCAGCCCCACACACCGGCTCATGGGGCCCCGACGTCGAAATATGAGGGAATCTGCGCGGGACCATCAGGACGTAAAGTAATCTCAATCAGGACCAGCGTAAGGCTGTGCAGGAGTCTGCGTGACGGCCCTGTGATCTTCAGAAGCCCACCCATGTATGTTTTCACTTAGAGGCCAGTTTAGGGCCCTCAGAGACCAGTACAGGGCCTGCAGACTGCAAAGGCCAGTAGTTTGAGACCATCAGAGACCGAGTTGGGCTCTCAGAGGCTAATGTGGGTCCTTACTCATTACAGGCCAACATGGGGCCCTCAGAGGTCAGCGTGGGGCCCTAAAAGACCGGCATGAGCCGTCGTTGGACCCCAGAGGCCAGCAGAGGGCCCTCAAAGGCCAAGATGGGCCCTCCTCAGAGGCCAATGCAGGCCCTGAGAGGCCGGCATCGGGTCTTCAGCAGCCAGTGCGGGGCTCTCATTGGCACCTAAATGTTCGTCTTGGGACAGCAAAGATAGCAACAAGGCCATTGGAGACCGGTGTGAGACCCTCAGACGCCGGTTGGGGCCCCTGAGGCCGGTTAGGGGCCCTCATAGGCCAGATATGGGGCCTCAGAGGTCGAAGTGGGCTATTAGCGGTCAACGTGGGCGCTTGACCGCCACTGAAGTTCCCTCAGAGGTCAGTGTAGGACGCTCAAAGACCGGTGTGGGAGCTATATTAATAGCTGGGCGTGTTTTTTTAGCCTCGTGACGATCGAATCAGGGCCAGGGCCCCATACACCTATGGGGGCCCATCGGTTGCTTGAGGGGGGGGGGGGCAAATAATATGATGGCCCCCTTTATGTGCCTTGGGGGGTATGGCCCTGATGCCCCCCCCCCCCCCCCAGCGACCGCCACTGCAAGTACACATTACATACAGGCCTCTGAGGTTACATACTAGCTCATGCAAACTCTATGCAGGCCCCGGAGGTCCGACGCTAATCCGTAAGAAACCGAGCCGGCATACGGCGTCACCACCGGGCTTCTGAGGTGCACAGCACCAACCCATGAGGTCTTATGTGTCGTAGAGCCATGCTCATTTGGCGGGGCCCACCCGCCACTGGCGAAGAGGGTCTCATGCCAGCCATTGCTGGGCCTACGAGAGCCTCAAGTAAACCCACGCTGATATTCCATATAAGATCCGGCCATAACTCGTGAACCGGTGCCAGCGACGCTGACCGCCAAATTGACAGAATGCGAAACTGAGCCCACTCATGAGTGAAATTTACGTCCTTTGATGGCGCAAGAGAGAAAATGAAACATACAAAAAGCTATTCTAGGACTTTTGCTCGATGTGAAAGGTGGGGCCAAAAGATGGTATGGCCCCACCTTTCAGCACCAAAGGGGGGCCATGGCCCCCGTGGCCCCCCCTGGGACCGCCTATGGGCAGGGGAGGTGTTCGGACACCCCATTGCGGTCTTTTGCGGATATCTAAAAAAAACGGCGGCCGTATTTGGCACACCTGTCAATGCATCCTTTCCTTCCGCACATGTAATGAACATTTCAGACCCAGGTCGCTAAAAAAGGTCCAGTCACTACGTCACTTCAAGAAACCTCACCTCAGAAAAACTTGAATGTTCGTCATAGCTACACGGACTGAATGATTGCCTTGAAACTTTCAGCGGCTGGTACGAGTAGCAGTATGTACCTATAAAATGTTTATCTCGGAGTTTTGATATCGGTGACTTACGGTCAGGTCAATTTTGCGCCCTCTCCTTTTTGAGTAAATAGGAGAAAATCGAAAGGCGGCTCTTTTGGACGAACGTCATTCCAAACACTCAAACATCGGGTTACAGTTAAAATAGACAGCTAAATCGAAAAATTGCAAGTTGCAACCATGACCCCTCCATTTCCCTGGGGTCATCTTAGGTCATCAAAGGCCCCCAGCAGTTTTTGACAATAACTTTTTATGGAGACATGCTAGAGGAATGAAAACACATTCGATGTGTTCAGGTCGACAATACGGATCTACTGATATGCAAAATGACCTTTCCCGATCATGTCACTGACCTAAATTTTCAAAATATTTTTTTAGATCCAAATTATAGTTCATTCGAGCCATCTCGACGAGAGATCTCGACGTTTCATGAGTCAAAGACTCAAAAGTGATTAAACAAAAACATTGTTCGTAAAAGCAGCTATTTTCAATTTTGCCTCTGGCGGCTAAACCGTTGACCTGAGGTCAAATCTGAGCACTGTCTTTAGAAAAAGCGTTGAAAGGGCTATCGAATGCGTTTCTCTGCGGCGCTGCAGCAGCTCTATTAGTTCTTGAGTTATGCGCCGGAGTTTCGAAATGTGTTGACATACATAGGCAATATTTTTCTTTTGATGTTCTCTGGTGACCAGACCTCTGACCAGACTTAAAAAATGACTGCTTTCGTCTTGATTTTCGAAGGTCTTTCGAATGCCGCTTGCCGCGTGTCGCTACGTGGCCCAGGAGCCGAGTTAGAAGGAGAGGGGGTGTTCAGACACCCACCGGCCCGGAGCGGTTGGCACCGAGGACCGGCCTGGCGCGGGTTAAGGAGAGAGGTTAATGCGTGACTATTTCCGCTGGATCAAAGCCGATTGGAGGGAAACTGCAAGGTGGTTTTATGCAGGGTCCGGCAAAAGTTTTGTCCTCTACCTAGGGCAACACTTATCCGGTTTCTAATCGTTTCTACCCCTAAGGGATAAAGATTTTGGAAAAAGATTTTGGGAAAGATTGCACGGTCCAATAGCCTCCAGCGGCTCAGTTCTGAGTCGACGCATATCCTCGACGGTCGATGGAAGGTCAACATGCATTTTCATGGAGGACGGCGCGCCAAGCTCATTGCTCTACCATGGTCCAGGTGGTTGTGTCAATCGAGCCTGCCGGAGTTCTGAAGAAATAACCGGCTACCATCCGGACCCTAATCCCGAGCGAGGATCTTTGGGCTACCTTCCAGCAGGACATAGACAGATAGAATTCGGCGGCCAACCTCGGCGCCTTACAGTTACAGCCAAACGGGCATAGTCGAAAATCAAGCTGTCTGTGCAGTGTGCTGCATAAGCCGGTTGCCAGCACGCCAAAAAAATGTTCGTGCGTAAATCCCTGTTCATATTAATAACAAAAAAGTTAATGTTCGGCCTTAGCGTCGATGGAAATGGTGAAAATAATTCTGAAAAATTAGCCGGCTGTGAGAAACAGCACGGATGAAAGGGGGGCCAAAAGATATGTTGGCCCCCCCTTTCAGAGCCAAAGGGGGGTCATGGCCCCTTTGGCCCCCCCTGGATCCGCCCTTGCTAGGTATGGTTTGCATTTTATAGAGCACGTGTAAGAGCAACTTACCGAAAGGTGTGTCCCTTTCGCTCACCCAGTTCCCTCCCCCAACAGGGAAAAAAACGGAAGCTGTTGTTGTTGTTGTTGTTTTTTCCCCACGCAGCGGTCGCTACGTAGCCTCTCGGCTCTGGAGGTACCTGGCGGCCCCCAGGGCCGCCACCACGCCGCTGCCTCGGACCTCCTCCTCGCTCGGGTGTATGTTGCCTAGATGTCGTAGGCGTAGTCGCATCAGTGCCGGGCAGCGTAGCAGGATGTGTGCCGGCGTGTCTGCCTCCTCTTCGCCACAGCAGCGGCAGCCGGCCGCCCGGCACGTCAGCGGGCGGCCGCTGACGCGTAGCGTAGTGACACCTTTTCTGATTTTTTTTTTACCGCATGTCTGAAGAAACGTCCTGGCGCAGGTTAATCTCACACGTGACGAAAAGGTTGCAAGTGATTGGCATAGGTACTATACTAAGTTCCTACTAAAGAAGTGTTGTTGAAGTACGCACCGAAGGCGCGCGAAATTTTTGAAAACAACCTTTTCTTCCGCTTTTTAGGCACATCTTTTACGTGCTCACTGTTTAAAGCTCTTCTCGCTCTTTTACCAAATTTGAGGGTGTACCGTAAAAATGCCTAAGGTTTAGTGGGGCCGGTGCCACACAAACTGTATAGGAAGCTTCGCCCATGAGTGACGATGTAGAAAAGTTTATTGGCGGTGGCATGCACACTAGACCACCATATCGGATTTATACCGGAGCGCAAGGTGCGTAAACACAAGTGCACAACGAGAAGGCGGCAGCAACAGAAAGATAAACCATAGCAGTACTGTTCCTCATGAGATCGATTAGCCTCCTCGGACTTATCCAAATTACCTCGAGCAGCCCTCATGACCTTCTCACAGATGCATACAGTGTTGAGTACCTAAATAACCAGCTTCAATCACCGAAACTTCAGATGCCTAGCCTGCTGTTGCGGCCGAACCTGTTGACAATACTTAATCGTGATCCATTATAGATGTCATGATGCACATAAAACAAGATCAATACGTTAAGACCAAAGACGTGTTTTATGCATGGTAGAGCGTATACCTACAGTTTTGGTAAACTTCATTCATTATGCTGAATAGTGAATGCACGTTTATTTGTGGCAGTTTTCACAGGAAAGACATCAAATATGTGCAAGAGAACTGCTAAGTTGGGAAACATGCCAAAGGAGTAGATAAATGATAGGAGGGCAGCGATCAACCGAGGTCGCCAATAGGTAGAAGGGCTGCGATCGACAGGAGGTCACTAATAGGTAGGAGAGCCCCGACCAACATCCTGAGTTTCGACAGGAGGCGGGCTGCGATCGACAGGAGGCGCTAATAGGTATATAGGAGAGCCCCGACCAACATCCTGAGTTTCGACATGAGGCGGACTGCGATCGACAGGAGGCGCTAATAGGTAGGAGAGCCCCGACCAACATCCTGAGTTTCGACAGGAGGGCACCGATAGGTAGGAGGGTGGCGAGCAGCAGGAGGGCGCCAATGGGTAGAAGGGCGGCGATCAACAGGATGGCGCCAATAGGTAGGAGGGCCACGATCAACAATCAACAGGAGGGTGCCACCAGGTGAACGGGCGGCAAGGAACAGGAGAACACCAATAGATAGGAAGGAAGCGATCAACAAGAGGTCGCCAATGGGTAGGAGGGCGGTCATCAACAGGAAGTCGCCAATGAGTGGAAGGGTGACGATCAACAGGAGGATGGCAATGGTGAGGAGGGTGCTTTTGCCCAAGAGGATGACATTGAACGGGAGGGGACCTGTGAGGAGGGCGTCAATTTAACAGGAAAGTGCCAGTGGATAGGAGGGCGGTGATCAACAAGAAGGCGCGAGTGGTTAGGAGGGCGGCGATTAACACGAGGGCGGCAATAGGTAGAAGGCTCCCGATTAACATTCAACAGGGGGGGACTAGGGAACCAATAGGTAGGCCAGGGCGCCAATGTCTAGAAGGGTGGCACTCAACAAGAGGTTGCCAAAAGGGAGGAGGGCGGCCATCAAAATTTCACGAGGGCGCAATAGGTGGGAGGGCGCCAATAATTATGAGGGTGCCGACCAGCAGAAGGGCGCCATTGTGTAGGGCAGGGTGGCGACCTACAGGTGGGCGCCTTCGGGTGAGAGGGCGCCTATTTACAGGAGAGCGCCAATAGGTGGGAGTACACCGATCAAATGAGGGCGCTAGTGGGCAGGAGGGCAGTGATCAACAGGCTTAGGTACATAGGCGACTACCGCTACGCTTAGAGAGCTACAGCCTACAAATGCGGTTGGAGGGCGCCCGAGGGAGCCCTCCAATCGTATTTATTTGGAGGGCGTATTTGGAATGGCTCCCTCCGAGGGCGCCCTCCAACCGTATTTTCCCTGCAAACACATTCGCGGCGATCTTCGGCGCCCGATGGGACACAGTAACCGCACCGATGATAATAGCCTAAACTGGCTGCCCAGTGCCGAGCGCCCAAGTTGGGCGAATATGGCAGCTTGGAGCGCGCGACAAAAACAGCGCGCGTTTGGCGGCGTGCTGATAACCGGCGCAAACTTCCGTCGTCTGCTGTTGAGGGGCGAGCTGTGGAGGTGAACCTATTGTGATAAGAGTAGTTGTGATAAAGTGAAGTGCAAACATGACCGATATCATGATTGGAAAGTGGAAGATGGAGAGCAGCGACAACTTCGACGAATATATGAAGGCATTGGGTGCGTATTTCTCAGAATTGACGGTGATGCCGGCTCGCGCGCTAATTTTATTGTCGAATTATGTTTTTCTATATACTTTTTCCCGTTCCGCCTTATACGTTCATTTATTTTGTCCTTTTTTACCTTCCTACCAAAACATCGACAAAGTTTGTTTCATTATTTTAAGATTTGGCTGATAGGTAGTTAACTTAACTAGTTAGTCGGGTTTAGAGCCAGGTAGGTATGCATGTAACACTTAGACCCCATGGTGGGCAATGACTACTATTCATCCCATCCCATCATTTTTTTAATTAGCTTCAAAATTAATGGCAGTTATTGATTCGACCATCACGTATGAAAAGCACATGATGCGAAAATAGTACCTAGGTCCGGGAGAGCGGGGCCAGTTGAAACACGGGGTCAGATGAAACATGGCTTTATTTTCAACAGTATGCAACATATGGCGTTGCCGACACCACTGCGCATCCGCGCTCGACCACTTCCTTTGTCAACGGCGTTTGGGCGGCAAACGGACGGTAATTTTGATTTGACACTTGTTTTTGTGTTTTTGAGGGGCGTTTAGGAGAAATCGTTTTTATGAATATTTTGTGATATCTCATATACCTTTGTTTGCTGAAAGAAGAACTCCTGGCTCCGGAATAACACCTTATTTGGCCCTTCATTCAGCATGATGCCGTCCCTCCAGCTCGTTTGACATGTGCTTTACGGCGCGTGCGAGATGGCGGGAGCGGATGGGGTCAATTGAAACGCTTCTCTGAGGGTCAGTTGAAACAGGGCCACAGGCCGTTTCAATGGACCCCGGTGACCTTTGCAATGGTTATTGTTCAGGGGCTGTAAACATTAAAGGAAAGAGTCCACCTTTGAAATGAGCTTTTAAACTGAAATAGTAGTTTAATAGAGCTCAATTTTTGACCGCTTTTTCTCCAGCCTTTTGCTTGAAAGCACACTATAGCCTGAGATATTTCTCATTTTCCTCATCCGCCCATTTTACCATAGTCTGTGTACTTTATGTCACCTATTATGAGGAACTTTGCACTTTTAACTTTCCAACGACCTATTAAATGTAACATTTGGAAAAGTTAACCGGACAAAATATCTCCTTAAAGGGACCCTCCCACCTTTAAAAAAATTAATGAATTGGCATGAAAGCGATGTCGCTCGGTTCAGAAAGAGCAAAAACGAATATCTACCAAATTTCATCGAAAAATATTCACCGGTTTTCAAGATATTAGACTTTTACTTTTGTTTACTTTTTGGGATCTCCGCTGTTCCTAGCGACTTTATTTGAAAGTGCGGCATTTGTTGCGCGCAAAGCAGCATATACCACCGCGTGCTACAAAACGTTTTAGTCAAACATTTAACGGACGTTCGAAAGCCTGATGACGTCATCAGATTCCCGTAATGGTTAAGAGATAGGGACCACGCTGGTCCCACCCTGCAAGTAAAGGGAAGAAATTTCTTGAACACCATAAAGCTGCGGGGGTTGCGACCAGGATAAATGGTGGTTTCTGAGCCTGGCCGCAAACTTGGCTATCTCAACTCAAAACTAATGTTAAGGTGGGAGGGTCCCTTTAACCCTCGCCCATGTAGGGGGGGGGGGTTGGTGCAACCCCCCCTGAGGTTTTTCGGAAATAGTGCAAAAACGGCGGCGCACAGCGCCGCCAAATTTCGGGTACCTTATGGGGCAAACCTTGCGCATCTTTTGTTAAAAAAAATTTGACCGGGTCATGTCAGGTCACGGAGTTATGACGTCACAAAGGGAACAGCCTCCGGCCGGATTTTCACAAACTGAGTGCCAACGCCCGAGGTTTCCTGCCGGTGGTACGGACATCGGTTGATGGATCGTGATGAAACTTCCCATGCATGTTGGGGCAAGTATTGGCTATCATATGGTATAAGAAACTTGACCGGGTCAGGTCAGGTCACGGAGCTATGACGTCACAAGAGGAACAGCGTCCGGTACTATTTTTGAAAAGCGCCCGAACCACTAGTTTGCTAATTCTTGTCACCTCAATGGGAATATGCAGCAATATTAGCTTCTATAGGGAGCAAATGGACCTTCCAAATCCAAAAATACAATCAGATTTCAAAAATTTAAATTTTGATTTTTCGAATTTCTGCCGCCGACTGTGACCTTGCCGACCTCCGGCGCTCCTAACGCGCCATTTTTAGAGCTAGGGAAACGAAATACATACCAAACGATAGAAAATTGATCAAGGAACACGATAGTGAAGGTTTCAAGTCGATATCTCCCACCGTTTTGCCGCAATCGCCGCGGAATGTTGAAAAAATTCTATTTTTCCGAAAATTTGACCTTTGACCGGTCAAAAGTAGGTCAAATGTTGACCTAGGACCAAAAAATATACCACCAATCGCGAGATCTCGGCGAGAGCAATCCGTTGGTCTTTTCCGCTAAGCTCTACGACGCTCCGTTTTCAAACGCCAAGGGGGGGGGGGGTCGCACCAACCCCCCCCCCCCTGCATGGGCGAAGGTGGCAGATCGCCGTTTACGGGCGAGGGTTAAGAAAGTGGCCTTAGGTAACCTCGCCCTGGCAGGGCATTTTTCATAACACGGCTTGGCAGGGGGGGGGGGGGGGGTCGATGCGACCCCCCCTCGCGATTGGCTCCTATGGCACCTAGAAACACCAAATTTGGTAGGTAGGTGGGCCCCCCGGAGTTCTCGCCCCTGTGCAAATTTGGTTGCTCTAGGTCAATATTTAGGGGGGGGTTTTGGGGGTATAAATGTAAAAATTTCGCTAAAAACAGGTCAAAAGTTTTTCGCTTATAACTTTCGATCTAATTAAGCTAGAGCAAAATGAAAAGCACCAGTGAACTCAGAACGTCAAGGCGCGTCGAATGATATACTTTTTAGCTTGCTTAAGTGTACTTAAAGTTTTTCTTAATTTTTAAGTAAACTTTAATTAATCAATTAAGTTCAATTTAACCAAATTGCATCATATCGCATATCATTCGATTCGGCTGATCACCAGGAACACAATGACACCATTTTTTAAGCTCTAGCGTCATTATGTGCCAAGTTATTGGCAAAAACGTCATTTGACCTCAGTTGACCTCATTTGACCTGACCCATGGATAAGAACACCAAACAAAGAAGCACCAAGTGACCTGCTGTTAAGTACTGTGGTTTCAAAGCACAAAAGTGATAGAACGAAGCGGATATCTCCAGTATTTTCCGAATTTATTATTTTCCCATAGGCTTAACATTACGACGTAATGACCTCTAACTGACCTCAGGTCAGTGACCTAAAAAAACCCGAACTACATGTTATACAACTCGGTGAACTTAGCACACCCTGAAAGTTTGAAGGAAATCAGTCCAAAACTGTGAGCTGGACAGGTGCAAAAAGAAAATTGAAATTTGACCATGACCTTGTACCGGTTTTTCTGACCTGGTGACCTGACCTAAGGTCACCCGGACCTGAAATTTTCAAGTCATATGTAAAAAGGTTGCCCCATAGGCTGTGCCAAATTTGGCGGCGCTGCGCGCCGCCGTTTTTACGCTATCTTCGAAAAACCTTAGGGGGGGGGGGTACACTGCCGAATTTTGGCCACGACCCTGTCGCCGAATCACGTCGTGTAGGAAATCGGCGAACAGTTCACCGACAGAGGCGAACAGCTCGCCGACAGAGCCCGATTTGCAGACAACGGGTGGGGGGGCCCCCTTATCGTGCGCGGATCGAAGCTGATCCATGATTCGGCGAACATCGCGAATGAATGGCGAATCTGTTGCGAATAGTCGGCGATACCTTGGCAACAAGTCGGCGCACGTAGCGACATGTCGGCGGTGACTCGGCGAGTGTTTGACGATCATGTTCGTTTATTATAAGTTCGGCGAACGGCCACGAAATTTTCATTTTTCATGAAATATTCGTGGCGGTCGTGACGAACCGTAAAAGTCGCGCGGTGGGCACCGACTGGTCTGCGAAATGCCAAGACCGTGGAAGAAAGATCCCGAATCGATCCGCGACATAGGATGACTTGCATATTCGTGCACATTCGTGTACCGAAATTCGGCAGTGTAACAAGGGCTTAAAGCCCTTGTTACACTGTCGAATTTTGGTACACGAATGTGCACGAATATGCAAGTCATCCTATGTCGCGGACCGATTCGGGATCTTTCTTCCAATGTCTTGGCATTTCGCAGACCAGTCGTTGTCCACCGCGCGACTTTTACGGTTCGTCACGACCGCCACGAATATTTCATGAAAAATGAAAATTTCGTGGCCGTTCGCCGAACTTATAATAAACGAACACGATCGCCAAACAGTCGCCGAGTCGCCGCCGACATGTCGCTGCGTGCGCCGACTTGTTGCCAAGGTATCGCCGACTATTCGCAGCAGATTCGCCATTCATTCGCGATGTTCGCCGAATCATGGATCAGCTTCGACCCGCGCACGATTAGGGGGGCCCCCCACCCGTTTTCTGCAAATCGGGCTCTGTCGGCGAACTGTTCGCCTCTGTCGGTGAACTGTTCGCCGATTTCCTACACGACGTGATTCGGCGACAGGGTCTTGGCCAAAATTCGTCAGTGTAACACGGCCTTAACCGGGATCGATCCCCGAACCAACCCCGAACCTTCCGACCAATGGCGCGGGAACTACTTTCAGGCTGGGGGCACACCTGATACTTCCCGGAAATTAGACGACCATATAAGCTAGTTTCCTCACCGATTTTAAGCCACTTATTTTTCGCCCCTTGGCCTTTTCAACGAAAAGAACGAAACGAAAAAAGTTAAAAAAAAGTGAGGCATTTCGTCTCGGCTTACTCAAGGGACATCGGTCTCTTGCAGTGTGCCCAATTTGGGCGCGATCGGCCCAGCCATTCTGAGATCTGGAAGCGGTACCCTGCTCGTGCGCACGTGCATAGTAGGTTCCAATTGACTTTTGCACGGCACACTACTCCATAGGCGCGGGAACCGGGGGGGGGGGCAGTGGGGGCAGCTTCCCCCCCTCCCAACTCTGGGACCCTTTGAGACGGAATACCGCACTTTTTTGCAAAAGTTTTCTTTTTTGTTGAAAAAGCCAAGGGATGAAAAATAGGTGTCCTAAAACTGGTGAGAAAACTAGATTTGGGGGTACCCTAGTTTGATCTCTATTATGGTGTGCCCCCCCCCCCCAGTCTGAAAGTAGTTCCAGCGCCCCTGCCCTATACTCAGCGGCCCCTAACCGTGTACCAACTTTGAACGCAATGGGTCCAGCCGTGAGCCGTTCTCGAGATCTATGAGTGACCCCTGTACGTGCGCACGTTCAGTAGCACCCCAATTGCGAGACATGAAAATGTATTGCCTGGTGGGTGCCTACCTACATGCCAAATTTCAGCGCAATCGGCCCAATAATTACCGTTGCAGTTGTTACAAAAGTGACACCTCTTCGCTTTCTACGCGACACGTGCGTAAGGGGTCACCCGTTCCACATGCATCGGGAATAGTCTAATGCTTGGAAGAAGGGATGAAGCTACCCTGCAAAAATTATTGCAAGTACATCGATCTAACATGTTTGCGGAGATATAAGATTCGCAAAAGCGTGACCACGACCGGCCGGGAGGCCGCTTGGCGCTCATTCACAGAAATGTCTTTCTAACAATGTAAGACTTCGTTCGCTTTGCTCGCTCGTAATAACGAATTACGAAACCCCTTGAAACGAAACCTTGCCAAATGTCCATTGGGATAAAATTCAAAACTGCAATCGGTACGTTATTATCTATTGACGTACGTATAAGAGTTTAGTCCCATGCTGAAGTGCCTCCTGCAACTTGGTTGTCTATTACTTTTGAGATCTTCAACAACTGCTGACGTCCGATTTAGTTTGGTTGGGTGAGCTAGTTATCAGCCGACCAGACTTCGGAAGATTCCACGTACAGAACTTGTATCTGGGCCGGCATGGACGAGCGGCCGTGTGGATCGATTTAGTTGTTATCTTTTAAAGTCGAGCTGGTCCACTGGCATCATGATTTTATGACTTATTGCACTGAGCCGTCTGACATTTCAGTGCTATCATATCTGATCGTCTCTAAAAGCTATTTGGCTAGTGCGTGTTCGGGTGTTCGGTTTTAATTCTGACAGCAATAAAAATGCATCAGTGACAAAGTCTGGGCTGGTGATAAGCTGAAGCTGAACGATTTACTTCGTTAAGTTTGAAGAAAAATGTGTTGTACTTTGTAGAAATACATATTAGTTCAGAATTGTTAAAATCATTCAAGCTAGCCGGGTATTGAACGTCCTACAGGCTGCAGTTGAGGTGCGCTTAAGATCGTAAGGTTACATATCTGAGATCGTTAATTATATGTAACGCTCCGGCAGCATCGATTGCATAGGCTCCAGCCCATTTGACATTGCTATAAACAAGGGCACTAGATCAGCTATGAACCGTACTTGATCTACAAGCATGGTTATACATTGAACGGAGTGGCAGATCAGCGCACCCCTTTTCACGAGCCTGTAACATTTGCGTATGTCATTACTCCCTTGCCCCGAGCTGTCCAGACTGCGTGTTCAACCACCTCTGTGCCGATTATGTCGTTCCCGTTAACCTTCCATCGGATTCCTGTATTGATTTCATTTGTCCACAGGGGAGCAATGCCGCTTCAACCCTATTGGCCGTAGTGTCCAACGGTGGCGGCCATATTGCGCAGACCAGAAACCGGCTGCCGCCTGTGTTGAGGAATAGGGAATTCGGGACCTCGATTTACGTTTGCGGCCGCCGTATCCGTTACGTTCAAGGTACGTAGATACGGAACCCGGCATCTTACGCAGAATTGAGTGGGGAACACGATCGTATCTTCAGAATTCCTCAAATTCACTCGCCTGACCTACATTTGCCCCGGCCGAGGGGGTCGATTGAACCCACCTCGCTAATGCACCGCTAATTAAACTAGAATTAAGCGGTAAAGTGGTCGTATGCGGCAAAGTATAATGCAGAGTGACTGGTTGGAACCCGCTGTAAGGGTCTCAGGTCAACCGGTGACCTCTGAGGTCAGGTCAAGTGATCTAAGGCACGGGTTCGGTTTTTGGTAAATAACTTCGCCAAAAATGGCCGTAGAGCCGCGATTTTGGCATCATCGTGTTCAGCTAGCTCAGGCGCATCGAGTGATATACTTTTTGTTCGGGTCAGGTCAACTTAGGGTGTTGACCTCAGGTCAAGGTCAGGTCAGCACCCCCAGGTCACGAAGTTGGTCGAAAGAGGTCATGTCGCATATCATTCGATTCGGCAGGTCTTCCTGAGTCCATTGGTGGCTTTCCCGACTCGCTAGCTCAATTTGATCGGGAGTTATTGAAGAAAAATGGTGACCCTTGTGACGTCACAAATGACGTCACGCAAGGGCAACAATGCAAATATGAAGCATAGAACCTTGCAAAGAGTGCATGAAATCATGATTTTATATGCTTGAGATAGTTTCAGATCATTCTCGGCGCCAAAATAACAATTTTCATATTTCCCCATTGACTTATAAGGGTTTAACGTATTAGTTCCTTATAGCTGATGATTTTTTAGGATTTCATCTTGTTCTCCACTCAATTCTGCGTAAGATGCCGGGTTCTGTGTCCACATAGCTTGAGCGTAACGGATGCAGCGACCGCAAACGTAAATCGAGGTCCCGAATTCCCTATTCCCCAGCACAGGCGGCGGCCGCTTTCTGGTCTGCGCAACATGGCGGCACCGTTGGACACCATTTGGCGGCCGATGCGCATTCCACATTATAGAGTTCAGTGCATTTGTCATACAATCGCTGTAGCTGCGCATTGCAACATGCTGACTCATATTTCTGACCAATGACCAATGGCAATCGATTGAATGCCGCTTGTGCAGCGTGTCCGGCCGTTTGACAGCGGACTGATAACGTTTGGCCGTTAGCAGTGGCCAGTAGTGACCGGTGCCAGGATGTCCCGTGCCTGCCACGTGCAACGGTGCGACACGTGGCATTGCGCAGCCGACGTGAGGCGACGCCCGTCCTGCTATCGGGTCGATTATAGACCGGTAGGGGCTCATGAGGGCGACTCGAATATGTGTGGTCTGGGCACTACATAACGGTGTTGACTGTTGAGGCTATATGAACTTATGCGAATATATGTAGCTTGGTGTGTTTAGGAAATACCGATACCCCTCGTGAGAACCAGAAGTTGAATGTTCTACGATGTTTGTTTAACGACTTCTATGGTTTCCACGACGAATATTCCGAATATTTATTTCACTTCTCACCAAAGTTTTAATGCATCCTCAATTTAATTAGCACTCAATTTAGCTATGCGAAACGCAAATCCAATCAAACAATGTCGCCCTTAAAATGAAAACAACGAAATCCGTCCCCACGAATCAGGGATGCGGAGCCGGAGCCGGAGTCGGAGCCGGAGCCGCCGGAGCCGGCATATTTTGCCCGGAGCCGGAGCCGGAGCCGGAGCCGTGAAACAATATAGCCCGGAGCCGGAGCCGGAGCCGGAGCCGCCAAAAAAGGGGGCGACTCCGGCTCCTTCTTATTTTTTGAAGAGGAAAAAAAATAATTGACCTAGTTCGGTTTGACAGTACAAGGCAGTAAAACATATGGTACTTACGTCATGGGCCATCAAGTGAATGAAAAAATCCGAATATCCCCAGTATCCCACAGTACGCAAACAACTTCCTGTTTGCTCTTTCCCCCCCCCCCCACGTCTACTGCATCCCCAGAACATGAGGACCAGTCATCAGGTGACGGCCATTGTTTTCAAACCAGTGCAGTGGACTGCGACTCCCAGCACCGTCTCATCCCCCCCCTCACCCCCCAATGCAGCCGAGACGGGTGTCAGCTTACGATGGTTCACTGAACTCCGATTCGCGGCGACTGCGTTTCCAATGCCATCGCTTCCTAGCCCTTTGTTCTGCCAGTTCTCTCCGAGGTGCGTTTGCGCAGGGACGCGGTGAGCCGGTCATGGCAAAGAGTAACGCGTATAACCAATCCAATTTTTCTTCCACCCGTATTTAATTGATTGCGTAGGGGATGTACTGAGTCGGAGCCGGAGCCGCCGGAGCCGGACCATTTTACTCGGAGCCGGAGCCGGAGCCGGAGCCGCCATAACATTTCACCCGGAGACAGAGCCGGAGCCGGAGCCGATTTTTTTCTCCGGAGCCGGAGCCGGAGCCGGAGCCGTCTGAAATTTCCACGGCTCCGCATCCCTGGCGTGGGAATCCTCCGAATATCGTGCGGGCTCGACCGACCCACCAACCTCCACTGCACACCTGACCTTTGCCACCACTCTCTGACCTTTAACTGACCCCTCTGCCCTCGGACAGGCGTGGGGTTCATGATGCGCAAGATGGGCAACACCATGGTGCCCACTGTGGAGATCACGGAGGAGAACGGCGAGATCGAGCTGAAGACCATCACCACGTTCAAGACCACCAGCATCAAGTTCAAGCTGGGCGAGCCGTTCGAGGAGGAAACAGCGGACGGCCGGAAGGTCACGGTGAGTGACCCGGGTCAGGTCGGGTCAGGTCAGCTGGGTCAGGTCAGACAGCAGCATAGAGAATGGGTCCAAAGGCAGCGTACTCGTATGATTGTGAGTGATCTTAGGAGGTTGGCAACTTTAGTCATTAAGGCTGAACTAAGTAGGGTTAATTTTTTATATTGTCACTGCGAGACCCAACCAAGAGGCTTAAATCCTTCAGAGCCAATCCTGAGCCAGTGAAGACTGTGTGGCGCCTTCCTGTACGCTTTTCCTGTGTGCAAGCAAATAATGTTACGTTGAGAGCGGTCTTAGCCTGGTAGGCATTGCATCGTAAACTTTCCTATGCCTGCTTACTCGTACTGCATGCCAACCTGATATGGCTCGGTTAATCAACATTTGGAAAGGAGTTAGGGAATGCATACACTGTCCGCCTTCCTGCCTGTTTCCAAGTACCCTTTTGATTAATTTATTTGGTGTAAATGTATTGGCGCGTGTTCTCCATCGAGATAGATGTTAATCGCTATGTAGAGGCAACAACAAAAAATACCAGCTCACAAGCACGCTTAGACTGTAGGCATCTATTTACCGCATGGTAACTACATGTGTTTTTATGTACTGTGTACTTAGGGCGGAAAATCCAACCATCTTGTCGCTTTAGAAACACTGCTGCTGAGGTTTGCCTTTTATCAGCTGACAGCAGCTGCCTCTCAAGCTAGTGTATTTTCGGATGGCTTCTGGCTTTCGTCAATAATCACATTGACGGGGTCATGATATTCATACGTATAAAGTTACTTGTGTATGTGAAGTTCGGTTTCGTTACTAAGCGAGCATCAAAGCGTACTCTTCCGTGATGTCTTGTGAACCCAACGACCTGTCGAGGAATGACTCGTGCCCATCCAAACGGTGCTCTTGAATTTGATAAATGGTTCTCCTATCTTCAACGTTGATTCATATAGCAGTGAGACGCTTCAGAAAGGCAACTGCAAATGGCTCAGTCTTAAGTCTTACAGTTTGTCATTGACATCTTACTAGAGACGCATCAGACAATCTAATAATGGCAATTTGAAACAAAACGATTGTATTTAAGGATATTCCTGCTATCCAAACCAGACAGACAAAAACTACCTCCCGTCTGTCTCGTACTACGCACGGAAGGGTTTCTGTCGCGCTGAGGCCGACCAGACCCAGCATTTATGCCGTACTGTTTACCTTATACCGACGTCTTCCTGATGTCTTGGTCTCGATGGTATGCCAGTCGCCGGGGCATAGGAAGAGATACCGCTCCGCTGCATAATTTACTAACAATCTGTCCTGATTGGGAGTCAGCACAGGGGGGTGTGTGGCCACTTATAGTGTATTGTCGTCTATAAAGTTTACTTGGCTGATTTGGAGCCACTCCATGAATCTCCCCAGCCCCGCTGCAGCTCTTGGATATAATAGCCGCAAGCGCTGTCTTTATGGGCCTGATGCATGAAGCCGTCTAAAACTCGTGTATGCTCTAGTCTCTACATAGAACCGGTGCCTAAGATAATGCCGCATCAAATCACTGAACATCACTTATATAACGGTTGCAAAAAAAGTAAAACTCTGTTTAGAGCCGTCGCATTCCAGTGGCTTCTGGAAGCAGTGCAACGCTAGTGGCTCGTATAGCTGTATTTGCAAGGTTTGCATCGAGACCCATCTGGCGTCGGTTTCATGAGACCTAGGAGGGGGAGGGGCAGCCAGCGATCCCGTCTTAAGTAGACTGCAGGGATAGTGGAACGGGTGTGGTACGTCGAAGTCGCTCCTTGGCCAGATGGGCTGGTAAATATTTTAGTGTGGAAAGATTGCACGAACTGCGAAACTGCGTTCTTTACTGAGAGAGAGCTGCTCCTTTCAAACATTCGAGATGTGTAGCCATTCTGTTCAGATAACGGCTACCATTTTCCTTGGATGGCACATGATGCATTCCCACCCATGCAGCAATTTATCGCTGGTTCATTTATCTGCCTGAGAATACTTCATGTGGAACTGGGCGGACAAATCTCCTGTCAGTCTGGTAATGACTTCGCCAGGCAGTCGCCTTTGTAGCTGGTTCTACGAACATTGCTCTGTGTAGTATGATGATATATTTAGCCGGAGGGAAGTTACAAGTATGGACGTTTGTTCTCTCAAATAAGAGAAGCACGCGCCAATCCACCACATCTTTAATCGTTTTATCACAGTCGGCAGTGATTTTAAATCGTATGGTGCGAGTCCATATGACTTGCATGAGCTATCTACCGGCATTCTTTTCCCTGTTAACCCGCGCCCCGCTGGGCTATTCAGCCATACGCGCCCTGCTGGGGGGGGGGGGGCAGATTCTGCCCCCCCCCTGTCTAACTTCCGAACCGATGGTCGTAGAGAGACGGGGAAAACAGCAATCGAAAGCTCTCAACGAGGCGAATCTTAAGAGCTCAATTTTTTTTGCTTAAGTAGGTCAGAGGTCAGGTCAAGGTCAGGTCAAGGGTACAAAATGCAAGTTTCTACAGTATCGGCCTTGCACCGTAATTGCCGAAGAATGGACTGAGACTGATTGCCCAAAATGTGTTCTTAGGCTACCAAGACAATATTCGTTGCATACAATATCATTCAAAGGTCAAGGTCAAGGTCAGTTCAGGTCAGGTCAGGTCACCAAAAACAAAATATAGAAAAGGGCATGTGCGACACAAGTTTTATGGGTCATTTTATTCATAGAATTCAATAGGCACACTCAATTAGCGATATGGACCACCTCTGGATGAATTTCAGGTCAAGGTCAGGTCAAGGTCAGGTCAAGTGGGGTCAAATTTTGAAGTTGGTTGTTAAGGCCTAAAAAGGTGTCTATCTGATGCAGTTTTTCACGGCGAGTCGAATGGTGCTATTTTTGTTTCCGTACGAGGTCTAGAACTTCCAAAAAAATCATTTTTCAAAAATTTTGTGTGTCTTGACGTCATAAAATTTTGAATAACTCCCACATTTTTGAACCGATTCTTTTCAAAATTGGTATGTAGGTGCACATAGACCACTTCTCTGACATATATTCCGTTTTTTTTGATATACTCAAAATTTTGGATTTTATAATTATTTTCCCAAAAAAGTCGGTTTTTTGAAAAAATTTGGGCCAAAATCCAAAATTTTCAAAAAACCGAGATAGCCATTTGATAGACAAAGTAGAATCACGTATAACCTTTTTTGTTACGTCTTGATTCCTTTAAAAATGAAGATGTTAGCGGCGTTTGAAATTTCGCGATTTTTGAGGCGAAAATGGCGAACATGACGTCACTAAAACGTCATTTTCTCAAAAATTTTCCAACGGATTTCGCTCAAATTTTCAGGGAACGTGTCAAATTGATGTATGATAAGGTACTGAAAGTTTGACGTCGCTGGCGTAACGCGTTTAGAAGTTATTGGCGAAAAACGGGAGGGGGGGCAGATTCTGCCCCCCCCCCAGCGGGGCGCGGGTTAATAACGATTAATGGTAACATGTCTTCGAAAATAAGCGTGTTTGCTGCCTAACTTTTTATATCATAGCATGTAATCCATGCACACTGCAATGACCGCTGATAGTAATCCTTTCATTTCATTTCTTCATTTATTTCATGCATTCGATTACCCACACAGTTCATTTTGGTCACTCCACTGTTTCCGCCGTTTACCCCCCCCCCCCCTCAAACAGTCTGCCCTCCCTCCGAAGTCCGAACAGTCATATCTAACTCTGGATCTAACTCTCTCGCCCTCCCTGCAGGCGACGCTCACCATGGAGGGCAACACGCTGGTGCACGACCAGAAGGGCAACAAGGAGAAGGAGGAGAAGGACTCGGTGATCCGGCGCACCTTCGACGGAGACACCATGACCCTGGTGAGTGGAATGGGGCTGACCTGGGAGTGACCTGCTGAGTGACCTGAGAGTGACTTGAGGGCAGCCTGGGAGTGACCTGAGGGTGATCTGGGGCTGACCTGAGGGTGGCATGGGAGTGACCTGCTGAGTGACCTGAGGGTGAAAACGTTTTCGGAAGTTCGGTCTCAGTCTTTTAGTATTCTACTTCTGTCTGGCTTCCGCATTTCTCTTACGTTCACAATAGTGGACGTAACGGACGTTCACGCTCACAATAGCGGACGTTCACGCCTTCAAGACTCGATGTTCAGCGTAACACGCAAGTCTACATGGGTAAGCCAAATCACTGCAGTAGGGGTAAGCCAAGCAGTACGTTCCACAGCTGCTCTATCCGTGTGAATCACAACTCCTTTGCTGGGACGTGGTGTCCTACAGGTGGTGTCGTGTTGGTGTCTGTGTATCTCAGCGGGGGTGAGTCACGGCTCGGGTAGGCTCGACCCCACAGGTGCACCGCCCGACACGCCTGTCTGTGAGGAACACATCTGTCGCGGATGGTGTCTGACGAAGCCCGGTTACCGTTCGCCTAATACGAACGGGGTACTGCGGAGCTGGGACAGACGCGGCGATCGCTCTAAAAAGACAGGAGCGAGCGCTGAAAAATATAATTGAGTTAAAGGGGTGGCATTATATCACAACTGTGTCGCTTGTGAGTGCTGGCTTGGCTGGTTAATCGTCAGCACGTGCTCTTTCAACAAAGGGTTGATTTAATCCTTATTCGTTGTTTAGACTGAATTGATGGGTTGGTGATTGCACACGAAATAACGGCGAATGGATTAAAGTACGTTTCTAATCCAGATATATCTTGTTTTCCGTCACGGAGCGAGTGAATCAATTACGGGCGGTACCGCCTCTGATGCAGGTGCGGCTGCTTTCATCCTTTTCTTGATATGTTATGTATCTACTTCATTGCCTACATTTGTATGTTTGCAAATGTTTCTTAGATAGTCAAAAGTCCCTAACAACAAGCACACTCATGTTGACACTGTAAATGTGTATGTCGAACGTTGTTTGGTAATCGCCATAGTTATGTACCGTTAGCTTATTGCAAGCAAAGGTATGCATTGATAGATATTATTTTAGGCATACAGGAAATGTACACTGTTCCTTGTAATTTGAAATCAATGATGCACATATACATTGAATATAGCTACCTGCATACGTCGGTATGTGATATGCGCCAACTTTCAATGGCTTGTCGTCAATGGTCATTCCGGGCAGACTCGTCAGTGATCATCCATATACAAAACCGTTCAAACCTGAAACCTTGACGTTTGACACCTGATGTTCAAAGCCGTAACACTATTTTAAACACTAGTTCATTGAGTTGCTTGTTGTTTCGGCTGCTGTTAAAATGTGCTCGATTTGTGTTTCATAGCACGCAATAACAACTCCCCTTATCATTTTTGTCCTTTTCCGGTTGCGGACGCGCATTTGTTTCCATGTGGGCGAAATTGCTTCCTTCGTGGGTAAACTTCAGACTGTTGCTTGTTGCTCTTTTGTTATTTTTGCCTAAAGGTTTTCCTCTGATGAGCAGTCTTTGTAATTCTTGTGACATGAAATGCATCAGAGAAAGAGTAGGTATAAGCTGCATTTGCATTTCAAAGGGACGACATTCTCTATTATCCTTACCAAATCTTCTCACCCAAAGTTGCCAGCTCAGTGGACGCCGTGAACAATGGACTGCGATCTCGCGACTTTGGAGTGTCTTAGGCTGGGGGGATCCGTGCTATCGTAAGTTATATCGGACGTGGCTGCGAAACTTCTCTCGGTACGAAACTTCTCTTGATCGGAAGAAAATCGGAGGGATGAAAAAGAAAGAGGGGCAAATCGGAGCTACGTTGTACGTAAGTTGTTTCGCAGCGTTTAAATGCCAGTTTTACTACGATTTAAATGCCAAGCAGATCAGCTGACCTCGTAGTACCATGTCGATAAGGTCGAATTCCCCATACGTCTATAGTGTAAAAGTGACCCCTATTGCAAAGGGGCTGTCAGGGACATCTCCTCCTCTGTACATTTGGAGGGATCATGTGTCGGCATTCCCGCGTTCGTTTCGGAGTCCATCTGTTCCATTTGGAGCCCGTCAGTTGTCGTCGAGAGTTGGCGCAGCGAGCGCCCCGAAGACTGCGTCTGCGCACGAGGCTTCGCGATGGAGGAGTATTTTGACGAAATCGCCCTCGCTGCAGAAGAAATAGAGGGACTTGTTGAGAAAGAGGAGGCCGCAGTGTGCCGACGACTTTAAACTGTACGCCAACGCCAAGACCAAGGCAATCAGGGGGCGCTCAGATGATCGGGAGGTTTCAATTGATCAGGGACCCACCAGGTGACCAGGGAACCCTCTGATAACCAGGGGTCCTTCCAATAACCAGGGACTCCTTCAATAACCAGGGGCCCCTCAGTAAATGTGGGCCACTCAGGTTACTGCAAGAGACAGGAGTCCCTTATAACCAGGGACCGGCAAGGTCTCTCAGGTCCGTTTTTGACAAAGCTGTTATTGATGTCATATGCGAGCCCTTTGCCACCAGCAGAGGGCCCTTTCAAGCCTTTTTAGGGCCGTTTAACGTCTCTTGAGTTTCCTTTGAGGCTAAGGGCCTCTTCAGCAGCCGAGGGGTCTTTGAGGCCTTTTTGAGGGCCTCTTAACCTTCGCCCTGGTGGGGGGGGGGCCATTTTGGCCCCCCCCTGTGGTTTTTCAGCGATAACTCAGAAACCACTTGAGTTAGCGCCCTGAAACTTTGTATAGCTGTTTATTCAACATTTTTACATCATGTCCTTTTTTGGGGGGTTCGGGTCAGGTCAGGTCAGGTCACAAGGTCACCAAAACTGACACCACCTCTAAAAAAGTTCAAAGCTCTCTCAAAGGCACAGCTTTTATCCGATCGATGTAAAATTTACAGTACTTGAAGATGTCACCCAGCTCTACAAAATGGCTATCTCGGATTTTTTATAAATGTGACCTAAGGTCAGGTCAGGTCATCGCTGCTCCCCATTATAAGTCAATGGGATAATCGAAAAGTAGTTGTTTTTCAGCTAAATCGGGCGTGATTGTTCCTATATTTCGTTATTGAAGTGTCTTGGGTCAGCAAATCACAGCCCATGTGAAACCATTTGCTTGTGACCTCGCTGAGGTCACGCTAGGTCATCTCCCTGGTCACCAGAGGTCACCAGCGGTTTTTCTGCACTTACTTGTTATTGAATAGAGATAAAGACTCCGTTCGACGTTTATCGTGTTTGTCTCGTCAATGCGGATCGAATGATATGCAGCATGACCTATTTCGGTAAGGTCATGACCTTGACCTGAGGTCAAATTTTCAAAATGACCTTTCGAGGTCAAACTATATATCATTCGACGCGTCTCGACGAGCCAAGCACGATGGTGCATGAATCGTTTCTCTATTTTCTCGTGAATGCATGCTATAGTTAAAAACATTTTCAAAGAAATTTGCCAAGTTGACCTTGCATGACCTCTGTAGGCCAAACCGTTGAGCTGAGGTCAAATCTGACGAACCTTGGCGAAAGAGCTTGAAAAGAGCTATCGATTGCTTTTTTCCGCGGCTCTCTAGCTCTTCTAGTTTCCGAGCTACAGCGGAATATGTCCGGCAACACCGAAAACACTGAAATTTGACCTATGATGACCTCTAGCGACCTCAATATTGACCTTAGCGAAAAAATGACCGAAATACTTTCGAACGTACTTGTTATGGGCTTTCGTTTGCTTTTTTCCGCGTCTTCCTAGCCCTCTTCGTTTTCGAGTTAGACGGGGGGGGGGTCATTTTGGCCCCCCCCCCCCCCCACCAGGGCGAAGGTGGCTCAGACCCACACCAGGGCGCGGGTTAACGTCAGCTGAGGACCGTTGGACGCCATCTGAGGACCGTTTGGGGCCTTCTGATGGCCAGTAGATGCCAACTGAGGGCTCTCTGACACCAGCTGAGGGCACGCTGACACCAACTGGGGGCCTCCTGACACGAACTAAGGGCGCTTTTATATTTGACACGAGCTCAGGGCCCTTTTGACGCCCTTTGAGACCTTCTGAGGTCCGTTTGACGCCAGCAGAGGACCCTTGGGGGGCATATGAGGGCCCTTTGCTGCCTTCTAAGCGGCCTTTGAAGCTTTTTGAGGGCCGCTTGACGGCACCTGAGGACCGTTGCGGTTGGACTCCAGTTACGGACCGTTTGAGGCCTTCTGATGGCCATTTTGCGCCAACTGAGGGCCGGGGGGCCCTCTGACACTAGCTGGGGGCCCTCTGACACCAGATAAGGGCCCTTTAAGGCCTTCTGAAGTCCGGTTAACGCTAGGTGAGGGCCTTTTGAGGCCAAATGAGGGCCCTTTGAGACATTATAAGGGCTCCTTGAGGCTTTTGAGGGCCGCGTGACGGCACCTGAGGACCGTTGTACTCCAGCTGACGACCGTTTGAGGCCTTCAGATGGACTTTTGGCGCCAGCTGAGGAGGGCTCACTGACACCAGCTGGGGGCCCTCTGACACAAGCTAAGGACTCTTTAAGGCCTTCGGAGGGTCGTTTGACGCGAGCTCAGGGCCCTCTGACGCAGGTTTAGGGCCCTTTGACGCCCTTTAAGGTCTTCTGAGGTAGGTTTAACGTTGGCTGAGAGCCCTTTGAACCCATCTGAGGGCCCTTTGAGGCCATCTTGTGGCCCTTCATTTGGCCATCTGAGGGCCCTTTGACACCAGATGAGGGCCATTTGACGCTAACCGAGGGCCTTTCGAGACCATCTGAGGACCCGGTGACCCCATCTGTGGGCCCTTTGAGGTCTTTTGAGGGCCATTGAAATTTCACCACAATACCCCTGGCTGCGCTACTGGGCATTTATGGACTCGTATGGGCCTGCTGGGGAACGAGATGGGCCCTCCCGGTCTTTTTAATCATTATTTCAGTTCATTTTACATGGTCTTCGGCGGTCTAAAGATTAGGGGCCCCAACTCGAATGGGGGGGGGGCCGTGTGCCCTCTCCTGTGTGCGGCCTTGCCGACACTACACCGCTTCCCCTCCCTCCGCCATAAACGCACCGCTGCACTGCTAGGCGCCGACAAATACGGACCGGTGCCGCAACCGGCTCCCCCGCGGCCTGCCTCGCGTTGACATAGCCCTTCCCGAACACTAGTGTAACCCCCACGCGGCCTAGGTATCGCCGCGCCCACCTGTCCGCGGCGCGGCCTCTGATGGCGTATCGGATCATTGATGGTGCGATACATGTTTTGGTCAGATTTTCGCAATTAACGCGAAAAATTGCCCAAAACACTTTTTAAACTTCAAAATTGAAAAAAATAATTACAAAAATGACGTGAAAGTGACCGTTTTCAACGTGTAAATTTAAAACGCTCTAGCGCAGCCATTTTTGAAGAAATCGACTTCAAATTTTGCACACGTGTTCATCAACCATATTTGTTTAACATATATTTCGGTTTTGTGAAAATTTTGAAAATTTCTTATATTTTTCTCTTGAGAAAGAGGTAAAGCTTCGCTACGATCGGCCTTCCGATCGACCGAGAAGATTCGTAAAGTTAGTTCGTATCTTCACCATTTGCGATACAACTTGCGTATCTACTTAGCCTACGATGTGATGGATCCCTCCAATATCTGTTCCGATTCAACTTACGTTTGATCGCAACTGCGAGGTGCCTTGCGATCACATGGATCCCCCCAGCCTTAGTCGTCGCGCCACGTGGCCTGTCCGCACCCTATTCATAGAATCAAACCCGATCTTTCCACTGGACCATGATACTTGACCTTTGGCGGTCTAGTCGGGCGTCTCATTCCGTGCCTCTTGAGCGCCACGCCACCCCTCCCCTGCACTTCAGCGCGAGCTGTTGAGTGCCGGCAACCCCTCACTGCTGCCGTGAACCGGCGTCTGCCGCGTGGCAGCCCACGTGATCTCCTCCCCTCCCCACTTGTCTGGCCACCGCCCGCCCGCCCGCCCGCCCGCCGCCGCCGCCGCCGCCGCCGCCGCCGCGCCCGCTCCCTCGGCGGGGCCGTGGCGCGGAGGTAGCGATGACAGCCACTGCCCGTCACCGGAGCCAAATCATTCGGGCGGCTGTGGCAACGGTCCTGCGGCGGCTGGCGGTACGGTGGGTCCTCGGACCTCGGACGGCTGGGGACAGGTGGTCAGCGAGAAAGGATCCTATCCTATGCGGCTGTACCACGAACAAACGCCCCCACCTCCCCCTCGCCGGGCGGTTCTTTCATCCATGACGGTTGCCTGTGTGCATCCGGGCGGACGCAGCCAACAATTACGGTCGTTTGACTGCTCCGGCTGGCGTGGTCGGCAGTCTGGGAGCGGACGGCGGGACGGCCGACGGCGGTCGCGCGTCCCTCGTGCCATCCTCACACCACCGTGACGTCACTTCCTGTCTGCTGCGGCGCTGATCGTGATCGGGGCGGGACTGCTCCCGGGCGGGGAGGGAGGGGTTATTGGTCATGATCGTGATGGGAGAGGAGGGGAAAGGGTTGGCGAGTTACTGGCTGGGTGGTTGCGAGCGGACGAAGATTATTGGGTAGATAGGACGGAATGGTGTCGTGAATTGATGCTGGTTTGTCTTGGGATCGTTATGTGATCCAAGTCCCCGCCCATCCCCACCGGCCACCTCTCATGGCCGGATGTGACTGTGAAGGTGTCAGCTCCTAGACAGCCTCGTGATGTGTTATGTGACACTCTGTCTATGAACTTTGCCTGCTAGCTTCAGAGTCTGACCGATACATGCTAGCCGTACATCCGGAGCCACGAACTCAACATGCTCGTCATGCCACCCAATTCCGCCGTCTGCAGGCCGATAAAGTGATTGAATTTTCCGTTGTTCACAGTCGTGCTCGGTCGGCGAGGGTGAGAGCGAGGTGAAGGCTACCCGGGTCTACAAGCGGCAGCCGTGAGCACGCCGCCCTGCCCTGCCCGGCCGGCGCTCCCGGCACTCCGGAGCTAGTCAGGCTCGACCGCCGCCGTTGCCGCGCGAGTTCCTCTGTGTATCGTTACCTGGCGCGCCGCTCGGCGTCCTATACGCGCAGTCCGAGTTCAGTTCAGAAATGGGAGCCACCCACCGCTGCTTATCGGCTCGCTGATGGGATCCAAACAGTCTTCAGTCAGTTCAGACTGAGCGACACACGCAGTCAGCGTGACGCGACGGAATCTCGGCCTAACGTGACGGAATCTCGTGGTCCGTGACGCGTCGTGCTCGGCGCGGCGTGACGCGGAATCTCAACTCGCTGTGACGCGTACCGTGATTTGTACTGGTCCTGCGTGACGCCGCGTGACATGGGCTCGCTCCAATACACTTGTCTATGTATGTCGGTGCGCTGTGTGCGTGTGCGTGTGTTTGCGGAGAGATTCGGTGACACGGGAGTGTTGACAGACCTCTCAGTCGATGAATGCTCTCGAGAAGCGGCGGTTTGTCGGCGTCCACTGAAGCCGCTGGCGGTTTTTCCGCTCTGTCCGGGACGGAGTTAGCTCATAACGTGTACAGTAGTCGGCACAGAGTATTGATCGCGTCGGGAGATTGACGGCTGCAGAGTGGCAACTCGAGACCTGCCGCGCCGCCCTGGTTACGGCTGAAACGATAACAACGCCGCCGCATTTTCAAGGGCCTCCTGTGAAAACGCATGGCGCCTGGCGCGGCAGTGAGGGCTGTTGTTTCAGTCTGGGAAAACATTTTGACAGCTGCGGGAACCATGAGGCCTGAAACAAAACAAAACAAAACAGCGTCCTGAAACAGCGCGCTTCTAAAACACGTGGGCGTGTATCATTGGGAGACAAAATATCAGTCAACGCATTTGCCAACGCTAGACTTATTTTGTTCCTCAGACTTACTTTGTAACCAGTAACCACCGTCGCATTTCGTTGGGACCGTCCCAGTGGAACCATGAACCAGTCTGTGACGTCCATCACACAAAAACGTGACAAACCGGGCCAGTCATTCACCCCCTCGCCCCGCCTGGGGGCGGCGGAACCGAGCAGATGTCCGCTCACGCCACAGCGCTGTGACGCCGCCGGGCTCGCTGAAAGCGGAGGGCTTGGGCCGGGGAGGGGCAGCTGGGACTGTTGAACTCGACTGGTGTCCGCTCAGTGGCCGGGGATGGGGGTCCCCATGCACCCCGGCCAGCCCACGCTCCCGTCCGTATTGATCGGTGGGTGAGCGACAGTGCGGCGTCCGACATTACCCGCGGGACCTATGGAACCCAGCCGGAGAGCTGCAGGTTTTATACTGAAACGCACGATGAATTGGAGCTGCGAGAAATTGAAGAAAAAATGTGGTTCGATAGAGATAATAATGTTGCTTCTGGGACAAAAAAGCTCGAATAAATCTTACGGAGTTATTTTCGTAAACGAGCATTAGCAAGCCTGCTGATGAGGTTATTATATTTAATTATGCCATGTACCGGGGATTCTCCAATTATCCTTCGAAGTAGCTTTTCAGCTTGGAGTTCTCCGAATAAGCCAATTTAGTTGATTACCCAAAGTTTATGGGAATGCAGAGACCGGAGGTGATTTTCAGCTCCGCTGGTAGGTAAATTACCGGGCAGGCTGCCTGGACGGACGAAAACTGGACGCTCTTTTCTCACGTCATCATTGACCGGTAAATGTAGGTTCCGGCCACTGAAAGTCGCGCAGCAGCAATCACAGTGAACCGGATGTGCAGTGAGGACAAAAAACGGCAATGGTCGTCCTCCCTCGCGATAGAAGCATCCGGACCATCGGTATCGAGAGGTCGATCGCGGACCACCGCGCCGTGGCGCGACCGACGCGACGGTTTCCGACGGATAGCTTGCATGATGCTGCAACCTGAAAAATAGGGGGATGAATGAATCCGCTACGCATTCTCGGACGCGACCATTATTTCAATGTTTTAGGACCGTATGGTGTGACCGACGGGGGTAAAGTGGATTAATTTACAATTCGAAGAAAAAAATGGTGGGTCCGGTCCGTATCATTCTGATTTTGTCATCGACTTTTCGTCATATCAACCGGTACCTCAAGCGACGCCAAACACACGAAGTCAGTAGGATTCCCCAAAAGATCCTTTTGAGATATTCCCCCCTCAATCGCAAAGGGTAAAGAGATCACAATTACTTAGTTAGTGACATGGAGCCACAGCGATGCGGACATTCTACCTACAGTTAACACATCCTGTACCCCGAGATCTCCCCCTGGCTCCTCGCACGCGCTACTCCCATGAGCGGCTCTAGTCATCTTTGATAGACTACTTACTGGCTGAATGGGCTAGTTAGAGTAATACTGGCACCATGTGATCGGATCACTGTCGGGCTTACGGGGCTCTTATTCAGGTCGATTGGAAAGAATGAAATTATTGTTATATTGCATGCTGCTTTGATGTGGTCAAGACTCCAAGAGATGTATAGGTACTGTTTTGCAGCAGAAGCTAACAAGAGCACTGATTAACACTTATAGCTCTATTGATCAACATATTACATAAGCGTGTGTTCTGAGTAGAAGGGTTTGTGATATTCTGATTTCTGAGGGAACACCTGCTCAGGCTTACGCTACGATAGGATACAGGTGACATCCCGGACAATGTAGCGGAAGTCAGACGCCCAATTTCGCGACACGCTATCGTGGCTCTCAGACACCCGGTTCCCACGGCTTTATCGGCCCCCAGTTTATTGCCTATTGGGGGCTCAGGGGCTCTGTCGTGATCAGTGATCGGTGGTGGCGGGAAATGTTGTAAATTTAACGGCCCCGCCGAGTTCACTGTACCCGATGTCTGGCAGACGAGTTGGCTCTCCCATTTTTCGCTCTATAAGTACCGAGGGGCGTGTGCGCTCAATTTGCCACAAAGTCTGCGAACTGCTTAATTTGCCAAGTCGGTATAGATATGGAAAAGCCGTAAAAAGTTATTTCCGGAATGTGACGTTATGAATTGTCGAGCTCTCAGCTCAGTGACCTCGACATGTATTTTTAATTAATATCGTCATATGCCCATAATCAACACAAGCGTGCTATAAATGATATGATGTAATTACGTAAGACTGCAAAAAAAACGAAGCTTACGACCCGCAGTGAAGCAGATAGCGCAGCAGCCGAGCCCTGTAAGGTAAGGATTATATATTCCCGACCGGGGCTGGGAATATATATTCCCGACCGGGGCTGGGAAAATGCGTTTTATTCACCGAGGTTTTTGTGCGGAGGACCGAGTGCCGGTAGGCACGAGGTCCGTAGCCAAAAACCGAGGTAAAACCTAAGAATATAATATAAACTGGTATTATATATTATATTCTTAATATAATACTAATATTCTATTAATACTATGTTCATATTTATAGTCACCGCGATTATTTTTTTGTGTTTTTCATTATTGGGCGGCGCTGGCCGTTGAGTATGAAAGATGAAATTCCTTACTTTTCCCTTATTTAGGGATTGAAAAAGCTGAGGATGAAGATGGTGAAGCGCCAGAAGTTAGAATAAACTATAAAGATATGGAGTCCAGCAGGGCCCAATCTCACCAAGTGCGGTAAACTCAATTTGGGGTAAAATACCAAACTACCCCACTCCATAACTACAAAAATACTACTCCGAAATTAGTTAAACTAGCTTGGTGAGGTTGGGCACTTGGCCCAATCTCACCAAGTTATGTAAACTTAATTTTGGGACAGTATTTTTGTAGTTACGCAGTGGGGTAGTTTGGTATTTTACCCCAAATTGAGTTTACCGCACTTGGTGAGATTGGGCCCAGGAGTGAGGAAACCGCGAGGAAAACCGAAAATTGGGTGAAACGCTGAATCAAACGCGTCTTAGATCCCAGCTGGAACAATATCCAAATGTTTCATTGTGGATCGTTAAGATGCTTCGCGCATTTAAAGTGTTCGTTTTTTGCGTGCATTATGTTGTAATAATGAGTAGGTACTCTGACCATGTTCTGCAGCAATAAATACATTGGCATTGGAACGATACCTAACCTTGTTTAGTTGAATTACGTTGACAGCAAAAGTAAGTGAAAACGCCGTCACTTAATTTTGCTCACTTCTGCTGTTGCTGTTAGTGAACACACAATCCGAAAATATCTTCTTTGGATTTGGTTCTTCCGCTCAGAATATTCAGTAAAATTTTGTCTGGGAAAATCAAAAAGCCCTAGGGCCGAATCGTTTCCCAAATACCTTCAACATTAGCGGAGGCGGGCCGAAGCCATTTCCCAAATGCACGTGCTAATGTTAAAGGGATATCTCGGCATGTGGTAAAATGCGTTTTATTCACCGAGGTTTTTGTGCGGAGGACCGAGTGCCGGTAGGCACGAGGTCCGTAGCAAAAAACCGAGGTGAATAAAACTGCATTTTCACAGCCCAAGCTTGGGAAGAGATTTACCACATGCCGTACCGGCGCAACAGTTAATATCATATTCATTTGATATTTTACACTTTAATCTTAATATTGTGTTAACTCGCGCCCCACTGGGGTCTGTGTATAACACGCCCTACTGGGAGGGGGGGGGGGCTATTCATAGCCCCCCTCCTAACTCCGAAACTACTGGGCCGATCGTCAAAATTCAAACGGCGTCTGATAGCCCCGGAAAACTGTCGAGCGAAACCTAATTTCATTGACCTCGAGGTCACCGATGACGTCACAGGTCAGATCAAAGTAAAAATTATTAGCACTTTGGCTTGTTCACATTTTGGGCTCTGGCCGCCGTCTTACAAGTCAGATCAGGCTCATTTTTGGTTTCCACACTCGTGAACAGATGCTCTAGATACCTTGAGGGTACCAAACTTGTACTTTGATTTTCAGGTCAGGGTCAGGTCATCACAGGTCACGAAAATATTATATCATGCGTCGGTCACGCGACACATGTTTTATGGTCCATTTAGGCCATAGATTTCGAATTTGATGTCGTCTGTGTCATTCGAAGTCATTTTGAGTCGAATTTAGCTTAGGTCAGGTCACTTTCAGGTCAAAAAAGGTCAAATTTTGAAGTTAAAATTTTTCAACAAAAAAGGTGTCTATTGGATGCAGTTTGAGCTCCGGAACACGATGGTGCCATTTATATTGGTGTACGATGTCAAATACGTACTGAAAAAGTGATTTGAAAAATTAATAATTGTGATTTTTTTTTGCAATAATGCGTATAACTTGGCCATTTTTGAAGATATTTAGCTAAAACTTGCTAGAGTTAGTCATAATCATGCGTTCTGTCACATATATTCCGTTTTTTTCGAAAAGTCAAAAACTTTTTGAAAAAAATATAAAAATATAGATTTTGAATATTATTATATAACATTTTCGGAATTTTCAAAATTTTGAAAATCCGAGATAGCAGTTTGATAGCGCGGTCAATTCTGAGT